GCCGGGAGCAATGTTGGTTTGTTGTTGCTGTCCATTTTGGGCCTCAGGGATTGAGTGTCTCATTGTATAGCGCTGCCCCCTCATCCAAGCGAAACCTCTGCTAATGAGATAAAGAGCGAGGCATTTCTGCAGCATTATTCCTCAGTCTTCATGTGATCCTGCTGTACTTTGCACAAACCTCATGACAAGAGATCAGACAGGACCTGACCTGTCTGCCAGTGGAGCCAGACTAACAAGGACAAGGAGAATTTTTCAAAAAGATGTAGCCAATAGTAAACAGACCTAAGTCCAACTGCCTAGCACTTACCTCCCAAAACCCCCCATTGATTTATTGTTGTCCAGTGATTGTACAAATGGAAGATAAGCAGTGGAGATGCTGACAAGACCAAACTCAAGCTGAGCATATCGAATTGACGCAGACCAAGCTGAGAAAAGACCTCTGTTCTTCAAAAACTCTTCCAGCTTCAAGGTTAATGAAAACAACAATAAAGAGACTGGGCATGTATTTAGAGATTTACATGTTTTAAGGAGAATGAATGACAAATTTTCCCAAACAACCCGCTCAGCGTCCTTCTTGCTCTGGGAGATCAGAGATGGCTTGGGGTGGCCCCACTCTCTTCGGTCCTCAGGGTTTTGACCTTGAAAGCATTTTTGACAAGCACACAAGAAACAAGTCTGTCTCCTTCAGTGTGGTCACTGTTGTTCATTTTGTAGAAGCCTGTATGATGTCTGACAGTGAATAATGATACTAATTTACTATCAACTAGCAGCAGTGATGTCATCTCTGTTGGCACGACCAAGTAAAGTCAACTATAATCAGCAATTTCCCTGAGGTTTCCACCAAAGGGATCAATAAAGTTCTATTCTATTCTATTCTAGTCTATGCAAATCTTTTGGACAGTGAGGACTTTGTTTTAGCACTTCATCAAAATGGTTGGTTTTTTGTTCTTTAAGGCAGTATCAAGTGCATGCGTGAAGCTCAACAGCAGTCATTAGCATGGATTGACTTGTATGAACCTTTTTTTCCTTAAAAAAATAAAAATAAAAAATAGATAAAAAATCTGCATTCAACCAAACAAGAAGTGATGAAATATGCTGATTAAAGACTTAATTGAAAAAACTGAAAGGCAACAAGTACATTTTCCAAGTGTGCACAGGTGTTACCAATACTGTGAAAATGGTGGCTCTACGTGCTATAGTTACATTAGTACTTAATTTTTTTAAACGTGCTTTCATAATTGTCTCCTATCTGCTCTCTGTAAGCACAGCTGCACTTCAGCTCAATTCAGCTGAAAATCTCCTAATTTTTGTCATCTGACTGTTGATGGCAACTGAATCACTCATGGCTTTATTAGAGATCGCAAAATTGTTTGGTTTTTCCAGAATCTGTTTGGTGCAAATGTTTTGTTTTGTTTTGTTGACTAATTTTAAGCTTAGGTTTCCTCAAAGAACATTTAAAATACGATGATTTTTCTTGTTTTTCTAGATTCTTACTCAGATAAATGATGCAGTTTTGGAGAGACAATAAAAACCTCGCCAAAATGTTTTGTGACTAGGGTGGGTCAAACTGTTGAATGTTGTAATGATTCATAATCTTTTAAAAATGAGAACTGTTTATCACACATTTTAAAAGCCCAATATGACACTTTTTTTGTTGATATCAAGCAGAAAGGTGGTAATGAATACAGAAGCTGTTTTATTGCTTTTTTAACAACAACAACAACAAAAAACAATGAATTGTTTTTTTAAAATGTGATATTGTATTGAAAAATAATATCTCTAATTTAAAAAGTTGCAATGAGTGGCTGCTACTGACTTTTATTTTTGTTATCTGTCCATTTGTTAATAAATGAAAAATGACCACCCCAGGTTCTGAAAGCCCAAGATGACCCCTTCCATTTACTTTTGTGTTTGGCCAACAGACCAAAACCTAAAACTATTCTGAGAAATACAGAAAACCCATGCATTTGAGCAGCTGACCACAGCAAATTTAGCCTTTTCCAAAAACAACAAAAAGAAGAATTTTGGTCTAGTCTAATTTCTGTCTAAACCACTTAACTATTTCAGCTTTGAAACAGATTTTAAAGTCACTCTGTGGTTTTAATAACAACTTTTAATATATTGTATATAAATGTTACCATTGACAATAATTATATAATAATTAAAAGCCTGCAATATTATATACATGTCACTTAAAAATGATTCAGAAGGAAAAACACTGTCATCATCCATCACCATGGACTTTAAAGTTAAAATAACTGCAACTGACAGAGTTGTCCATTGTTCAAACAGATAATTCAGTCTGGATGGAAACATTTCCAGAACCATTGAAATCTGTAAGAACCCTCTATGAGTTGCAGACATGATGAGACATGATCAATCTGCAAAGGCACTGAGCTGTTCAGCACTTTACTAACAGACCATTGTCAGGTTGTCTCAGCTCGAATGTGACCCCCATTATAGCAGAACACACACCGTGTTTCTCTCAACGGGGAACGTCTTCTATTTGTCAAAGATATATGCTCATGATAAAAAGAGGAATCCAGAATGTTTAATGAGAGCACCTTGTTCTTTAGATCAGTGTAAAGGCAGCTGATTTGCAGTATCGAGGAGATGGAAAGAGTGGAGCTGTGAAGCTCACTTTACGTCAGCTCCAGCATGTTTGTGTGTGGTGTGTTGGTTTTTGCTTAACTCTCATTGCTGCTGCTGTCTGACTGTCTGGGCCAGAAGATTGAGGGTCACAACGGGTTAATCTGTGCGTTGGAGATGGGAGAGGCCAGTTGAATGGCTAGCTTCTACAGCTAGCCAACACATTGGCTAAGGCTGAGGGTGGATCTGGTGCTGGGCCTGTGCTCCGGCATGGAGCCCTGCTGCAGGATCAGGAGTCAGTGAGAGCAGACAGCAAGGCTTTTATTGTATGAGTGTGTATGTGTTAGTGCATGCATTTGAGGAAAAGTTGAAGGGCAGCTTTTGAAATAAACTTTGGAGATGAAAGGAAGACATTATATTAAGGGGCAATTATGACTTTGTGAAAATCGTTCTGTTTGTAAATCCTTTTTGGGGTAGATTATTTAAACCAGCGGACTGACGTAGATAAAAGGTGGTTATATCATTTGTTTTTCTTGCAGTGTGCCCCCTTTAGCTTCCCTCTCACACTGCCATTCTCATATTCCTGCTGCCCTCTCCATACACACACACACACAGTATTCATGCACTTCAAGAGCTTAGCTCCGTTAATGTAAGAGGACAGGGGGTCCATGTTGTTTTGTTCATTTAATGGCCGACCTCATGACACTAATGAAACCAAGCAGTTTTGGGCACATGCTCAGCAAAAGCTGGTTAACGATTAAAAAAATGATTGCAGATTGTTCCGATTCACTGTTTCCCTTGGTATAAATGTTCCTTTTCCGTCATGGTTTTGGTTTATATGGCTGAATGTTAGTTCAGACTCATATGAGACACACATACGCACATCTTTATGGTCTGACGTGTCACCTGTCCCTAACCTCAGCGGCTCATCTCCCCTGCTGCTGAACGGTTTTAATCTATAAGCTAATCTCAGTGTGCAGGTCAGTCTGCTGTATTTACCTCTGAGAATCCTCCATCTACCTTTGCACCCTTTGTCCTCACACCTACGTTTCAGGCAACAACAACATGCACATAAACTCTGGTACACTTGCACACCTGCCAGTCCCCAGCGCCTGCTGTTATGTAACATTCTGATTTACAGGCATGCAGATATATGCGTGAACAGCCAACCTACAGACTTGTGTGTTTGTCTTTAGCTAATCCTGTTTACTACCCAGAACCCTCACTGTACTTTAGTTTGCCTATTTTTGTGATTATAAAAATACTATATCTTTCAGTCTGTATTTATTTCATCAAAGGATCTTGTGTTCTATTTGTGTAAAAAGCCGCATATGGTTCATTTTTAAGGTACTTAAGATGATTTAGAGCTTGTTATACTAAACTGTGCCATTCATCATTTATTATGAGTCATTGTATTGTGTTAGGAGACATTATGATTATGATTTTGATTTTGTAAACTGCAAAGTACAACAGTTTCATCAACCACAAGTTAAAGCCTTAAGATTATTCTCATTATTAGATGTTGTCTTTGTGTAAACGACAGTGGAAAAATGCCTATAGGTTTTCCCAGTTTTCCACACCTAAAAGAGAGATTAATTACTCTTTATATTACATTTTCACTTGTCCAAGTGCACAGATCTTTGAAGTGGAGGCAGAGCCAGCACCAGAAGGATTTGGTGCTGTACAAAGAACCTAAAAAATTGTGATACATGTGAGTCCTGAACACAGTTTGAGATGATGGATGTACCCATGGAAGGGTGGCATGAAAAAGTCCCTAAACGGGCCTGTTGTGGTTTTAAAACGTTTGCAAACCCCGGCTCTATTAGAAGTCTGCATTGTCCTATTGTCATGTTTCTCAACACCTCTCCAGCCTATGCACTGTTTTTCTTAGTTTGTTACATGAGTTTTGATTCTGTGAAGCCTTAATAAGAGCAAAAACAGTTCTAATCAAGCCACTTTGGACATGTCTTATTGACAAAATACTGTACGCTTTAAGTGCCATCTTTTCCCCTTATGTCTCACCTTCAAGCCTTCTGGATAAGTGTCTGCCTAGTGTTGGATCCCTACTGTTTGTGTTCAGTATGCTTATTGGCTAATGACAGATGGTCTTCTGGGCTGTTGGCTTGTGCAGTGAGGAGGGATTTCATTTCTACTGACAGAGAGGTTTGACCATATGAGACTTCTGTAGGATTGGAGTGACAAAGATGTATTGTCATTGGAGACTGATTAAAATCACCTGTGTCATCTGGAGAACTGAAATAATTTGTCAATGTTTGGATGATGATAAGCTCATGCTTCCTGTGTTGCTCTTGCCTCCAAGATTTAACCTGCTCTTTGACTTGTTTCACCGACATTTGCTCTGCTGAAGGCCCTCCTTAGCTTGACCTTTTTTATTCCTCTCTCCCCTGCAGTGTGTCCTGTTCAGTGCAAACACCGGGCATGTACCAAGGATGACCAGTGCTGTCACGACCAATGCCTGGGCGGCTGCCTAAAGCCTAACTCAGCCAGTCACTGCGTGGCCTGCCGTGGCCTTCAGCATGAGGGTAACTGTGTGGATCGCTGCCCCAAAAACCACTTCACCTACAAGGGCTGGCGCTGTGTCTCCTTCGCCTTCTGCCAGGATCTGCACAACAGATGCAAGCGGGAGAAGGAACGCAGCAAGAGCCCCGACTGCCACGAGTACGTCATCCACAACGCTGCCTGCATCCCTGAGTGTCCCTCTGGCTACACCACCGTCAACTCCTCCTCGTAAGTGGACACTCTTGTTGGTCTGATGGGTTCTTGATGGCCCATAGGAAGGATGTTGGATCAGTGACTCTGCCTTAGTATTCTGCATGCACAAATACACACATGCATGTTGAGATAATCCTGGGCCTTTGCATAGGAGCTTGTGACGCATAGTTTCTCCTTCATGTATTCATTTTCCCTAAAAAGTCACTACTTCCACCACATTTCTGCATATTGCTAAAGATGCAAACAAGGCCTTAACCCTCTGAATGCCAAATCCCTCTCCCAGGTTTGTTGTTTTTATGTATTTAATTTTATTAATTAAAAAATGTTACTTTATGACAGTACAGTTCATCTTGTATGATATGCAGTTCTGTCGGGACAGTCAGTCAAATGGAAACATGAAAATCACTTTATGCACTTTTTGAAAATTCGTCAAAAATAAACCCTTTGCAATAGCCAGATTCTCTGAAAAACTAAAATTCTACACACCTCATCACAAACAAGAAGCCATGAGTGACTCAGATGGGACTAACAGTCATATGACAAAGCCTTTTTCAGCTGAACTCCTGACTTTGTTTACACAGAGCAGATAGAAGAGTATGGAAACAACTTAAAAATCTAATTATTAAAATATCTATATTGTGTAGATTCACTATTTTTACAGTATTAGTAAAGCCTCTGGCACTTGGAATTGATTTCAGTTTGCTTTCATTTTATTTTTTTTCTTTAATTTCAAAGAAACTAAACTTTTATGTCCTTGTGTTATTATTTAAGGCATTGTAAGTGTGTCGTATCGCACAAAAGTGATTGAGTTCTTTCTGTTCTAGCAGTGGTTGCGCTGCTTCATACAGGTGCAGGATTTTGTATTGCAGTATATAGTGAGCTCTCAGTAGGTAAATATGTGGCAGGAGCAAAAAAAGTGAACAAAAAACCACCTGGACACAGCTTGGGGTTCAGAGGGTCAATTTATGTGTCCTAATAATTTTTATTTGCTATAAAATATATAAATAATCATTCATTTGGTGTATGTCACACAGACAATCTGGACAAAATGAAAAACCTAAATTATTTTGGGTTTTATTTACACAAAAAATATAAAGGGTAAACAGAAATGCAACAAGTTATGTCATCTTTTTGGGGAGGGGACAGTCAGTAACAGACAAAAGATGTAAATCAGCAGTCTCAGCAGGAAAAAACATTATACCACAGTTAAGCCTTCATCTTCCCACCTAATGACATGAAGAAGAAGAAAAAACAGTAAACAAATAAGAATTAGAATTACAAATAGTCCCCTGTGTAAAAAAATACTGGATTCCTGTGTCAGCTTAGTTCCTGTCACTTTGTTTATAGCACAGAATGACAGTGCAAGAACTGAAGGTCCTCCTGCTGAGCTCAGACATTGCTCTGTGTGGGTGCACACACAAATCTCTGTGTGTGTGAGTGTGTGTGTGTGTGTGTGAGAGAGAGAGAGAGACGCCGCAGACAGCTAGGTCAATGTGGTCAGCACAGTAGGAAGGCTGGTGCATCTGTGTTTCTGAATTTGACTCAGTATCCTACATTTTTCTGTCACTCACTCGCTGCACAAAACTGATGCTTGTTTACCAGCTGCTGGTGTCTGCATTGCAGACCTGCAGGCAAATGCAGAGAATTAGACTTGAAATGTTGTTGGTTAGATGTGTCGTTTACAACCTGGAAACTTTGTAGCTGCATCTGAACAGGGTGTTGTACTTGTGCTGACCAGCAAGTGACCTTCATCGCCTCCCCTTTTGACACCTTTACTGAGCATGACAGGGCTTCTGACGAGTGTGGGCGTGCCTGCAAGCACAGACGCTTCAAACAGGCGTAATCTTTCTGCTTGGTCAGAGGCTAAAAACGCAGCTGGATCTTTCAGGACTTGTTGTCTTTTGTTACACCATAACTTGCTAGTTGACAGGAGAGTGGCTAAATATCACGGGAGCGAAAGAGGCACTTGGAACAGATTGTTAGTGCCCTATGGCGCTAGGCCTTTAACCCCTTGGCTGGCAGAAAAGAAATGGCAGGTCTGTCTGGCGAGCAACGAAGCAGCAAAATCCAGGCTGTCTGTCACTGACAACAGTGATGACAAGGGAAAGTGCGGTTCCACTGCAGTGACGTTTACAGCGTTATATGTATTTAACTTTTATTAATCCACAGAGGATTTGCCATGTACATAATCTCCATTTGAACAACATGCAGCTTCACATTCATGGAGTGACATGATGTACATTCATACCTGATAGGTTACTAACGAGTAGATTCAGCTCCAGTGGAGCCTTGTTCAAGTGCACCGGAGCAGCTGTTGAGAAAGGAAAAAGGGCTACTGATTTTTTTTCCCCTGCTTATGTAAAAGGTTTTAAAATAGGGCTGAAAAATGTATTGAAATATTATTAGAACAGCAATATGACCAAGTGCAATGTCGAGGGGTTTTGAATATTGTTCAGTCCCAGTGTTAAATCAGAAGAATGTATTTATTTAATTTTTAAAAAATGTATTATCACCAGTGTAAATGTTTTGAGCTGTTCTGATTTTCACAGACAATGTAAAGACCTAAAAATATTCAGTGACAATATACACACAGAAAACCATATGGATATATATAGACTATTGGTGGAATGCAATTAACTAAATTAATCTAAATAATTAGAAACTTTGTAATGAATTAATTGTGATTAAATACATTTTTGTCAAATAGCAATATTTGACACAATAAGCAAAGTTTTTTTCTATTTAGATAGATTTATTCGACAACTGAATCAGTGCATACACATATAGGGGAACTTGAACAGCAATAACATCTCTTTTCCATCAGACCAAGATTTTGTGATAAGAAAATAGGAAGAAAAATGGCTAAAGTTTTGATAGAATTACCAATATTATCCTTTATATAATGCAAGTATGTTTTTATTAAGATGATTACTGCCGTATACACAGACATCTTAGGAGTGTTCAGTGTAGCAGTATATTTTTGTTTAATTTCCTTTTGCTTCTATGAGTATAAGTGTGTGCTTGTATTGTCAGATAAAGAGCTTTACAGTTTAGATCTTCAGAATAATGTCACAGTAAATTGAGTCAAAGGTAGACTCTCCATGTGTGGATTTGATCACTTCTTGCCAGGGATATGAGTCGACAGTCCAGCTGATCTAAACCTTTAGGCTACTGTTGAACTGTTGTGAACCCGCTTGTATGTGTATTTCAGCCTTTTCACTCCGACTGCCTTTCTATTCCCCTTTTTGGCTCATCTCTTCTCTTTGGCATCTCCCTCCCATTGCTGGCTTTAAACTAAGCCCTGGAAATGAAAGTGCTTTGAGGATAAGCGGTGCACTCCGAGGCGTTATGAGTGTCTAGGATGAAAGTGCAGATGTGGCGCTAGAGAGGGAAAAAGGTCAAAATAGTTCAGGGACATTATGAGCCAGGTAAAGAAACAATACCCATAATCTTCTTTTACTTGCAGGACATAAATTCAGTCATTTTGGCTTCTGAGCTATTGTGGGTGGCTTGTTTTGTTGTTGAAAGCTGTTGTTAATCTCATTTGCAGCTCCAACATGGCTACAGCTCACAAAGCATACTTCATATTTGTCAAGTTTTTATACTTTTCATTAGCTACCACTCAGTCCCATTATTTGGAATTCACAAAAAAGATTCCACATTGCTCTGTAATTCACCTGCCAGCTTGTTCAGCTGTTGCTAAGCAAAAGCATTTTCACCGCATACACCAGCCAATGGCAAAACAAACTCAGAACAATGACCCAGAGCAGACAGCCCATCATTGTCTAACCATTCCCTTCATCGCCTCAGTTTGAAATGTTAAAAAATGTTCTCTGCAGCAGTTGTCTCTTCTAAAAGATGTCTCTTCATTGCAGCTTGTAAATCTCAGAGGCTACAGAGATTGTTTTACCCTATCAAAGTTTGCAGTTGCCGCATTATCAATGTGGGGATTTTACAGACCACGTTTCAGGAAGCAGGTTAATATGGTTGGCACACAAAGCTGCATCCTCATATCTGGTATGAGAGCAGACTAGTTATGAAAACATTATGTAAGCCAGGTTGTTTAACTCGGAGGTGAAGGTGAAGGGTTGGGTTCAGTTCTGTTTCAGTTCATTCAAAACAAGAGTTCAACCTTACATTCATGTCTTACTGAGCGAGCCTTCGTGGTATTCACTGTTTGTTCTAATGCTCCAAATTTTAAGAAAAATAACTCACTTAAAGCTTATTTGTCAAAGGTGTTGGTCAGAGTTATGAAGCTACAGAGACTCATCATTGTCCAACTCTTTCCCATCTTACAAGATCTTTGTCTTTTGTACTTAAGTAAAAGTGCCAATACCACAGTGTAGAAAGGTCATGCATTTACATTTATACTTGAGTAAAAGTACAAAAGTACTTGCATGAAAGTAGAATTAAAATACCAAACTAAAAGTACTCAAAATAATGTATATTGTTGATGCGCTAATCTGTTCATCCCTGTAATAATTAAGCTGCTGCAGACGATTTCACTACTTCTTACAGTTTGGCTGGTGGGTAGCTTGAGATCAGCACATTTTTATCTTCTCATTAAAAATGTTTATTACATTATAATTTATTAGTTTTCTTCAGTCCAAAAACAAGCGATTGCAGGTTTAGGTTGTGAGTATTTTTGTGCCAAGAGGAATCCGGAAACAGTGATATACTTCACATTTGTAACACATTTCAAAGCTACATCTTTTTATTATGATTGTTTGACTTTTCTGAAATCAATATCCTTTTGTTTTGTTCTGTAGGCTTAACTGCACTCCCTGTGCAGGGCTCTGCCCTAAGGTGTGTATGGGTCTGAAAACAGTGGACTCTGTCACTGCTGCCCAGGCTTTAAGAGGCTGCACTGTTCTCAACGGGAGCCTGGTCATCAACCTACGTGGAGGAAGTGAGTGTCTGTGGTTTGTTTGGTCGAATCTGATTACAGTGTACAACAGATCAGCACAGCAGAACAACAAACAGAGAGATATTGACATTACACAAAACCAGGAAAACACATCAAGAGCATGCAGCTAAGCAAACAACAAAGTAAATTCAAGAGGAAATTAAATAAAAACTATGATCAGCTTGATCATTTTGAAAAAATGGAAATATCTAAAAAAAAAAATTAAAAAAAAAACACACAGATGAAATGTAAAAAATGGTCTCAGACAATGTGAACAAACATTTAGTAATTGCATAAGTTAACTTAGCTTACTGAGTTGATAAGTAGCTTTTGGTTTCTTGTATGGCAATAAAGACAAATAATTCATAGTTTCTTTTAGATATGCACACACATTCACAGTAATTCTGTCCAAAGACAAAAACCAAACAGAACAGGGCTGCATAATTTCTAATTCATTTGAAAAACATGACATTTATACGTATGTTAAATGCAGTCATGAAAATATAAAAGCTGACAGCGTACTGAAAACAAAAAATTGAAAGCAGGCAGCAGGGAACAGTTTGTTGCCAGAGAACAGCTGTATTTTGTACTAACCACACTGTAGAGTCAGAAGTCACTGTAAGGGCTTGTGTCTTTTGGTTTGCTGTAGACAACATAGCAGCTGAACTGGAGGCCAGCCTGGGCCAGCTGGAGGAGATCACTGGCTACCTGACAGTACGACGTTCCTACGCCCTTGTATCACTCTCATTTTTCCGTAAACTCCGTGTTATTCGTGGAGAGGAACAGGAAATCGGGTGAGACTCTGTCTTCTTAGCCCATCCTATCCTCGCCATGTCACTGCCTTCTCCTGTAATTATGAGTTAAAAGCAGAAGGACTGACCTTTTCAAAATGTCTTTCTGTGGTAACTGTTTTTAGTAAGACTTTTCCAAATCATACATGAGGCTTCATTCAGACGAGGTGGAAGACGCATGTAGCACAATGGGCTAGGATAGGATAGGCATATGATGCAAATTGAAGGCTAACCCTGCTCAGATATTTTTCTACTCATGTTACTCAAGAAGCTTTTTATACCCTGTGGCAAATATCATATATCATGAAAAATATGTTCATGCTTCCTTCAATGTTCTTTTCCAGAAATTACTCGTTTTATGCCCTGGACAACCAGAATCTGCGGCAGCTCTGGGATTGGTCCAAGCACAAGCTGACTATCCTGCAGGGACGCATGTTTTTTCACTACAACTCCAAACTCTGCATGTCTGAGATCCGCAAGATGGAAGAGGTGACAGGAACCAAAGAGCGGCAAGTCAAGAGCGACATTGCCTCCAAGACCAACGGAGACCAGGCCTCATGTAAGAACCTCAGCTCTGCAGACATGTCAGTTGTTGCAGGAATACTATGGCAACCGACAAAACAGAGTCGTGCCCAGCACAGATGCAAACATAGTCATAGTTATTGTCATGATGGTCATTTCCTGGCCTTATGTTTGCAGATGTCCTCCTGCAGACCTTTTACTGACATTGTTTAACTAGGAACAACCAACACAGAAAAGCCCAGATATCTGTTAAACATGGCAACATCGTAATATAGATGTGATGCTAATTTTGTCCTTATCCTTTTCATCCAAGTACACAAGTCCAGAGACAGGGTGCGGGAATGAGTTCATTGTTTTTTATACAGATAGAAGCGATCTGTCATCGAAGTGACTATATTTTTTTAAATAAGCGTATCAGTGGAAAGATTTTAGCTAGAGCCAGTACTTGCTTTTTGGGTCAATGCTGATACTAATTTGTAAGGATATCATTGTTTTTTTTTACAAACTTCTGTTACTTACTAAAAACTACATGTGCTTAGTGTATTACAAACGATGGAGTCAGAGCTGCTCTACTGGACAAACTATTTGATGACACAATTTCTAAATTACCTCAAGCACCCTTTTCTGTGTTATTTTCTTTAAAGAAAACTTTTCGCTGCATATCAGACAACATATAAGCTGACACTGATAGATGTGTGATACAGAAATATCTGAGCTGAAAGAAACTTACATTCAACATGTGGGGTCCTCTTCTGTTCCTACAGATCTCGAGTCTGTCTCTAGCTGCGTTTCCATAGAATTGTCAAGTGAATTTAAAGCAACATTTTTGAACTGTCGAAAGAGGCAAAATGTGTGGCGTGTGAATAGAGAAGCTCACTGTTCAGTTTAGTTTGATTGAAAGGCATGATTGCTCCATTTTCTTAGAGCTTTTTCTGCTGACAGCTGTTATAATTAATTGATGTCTTTTCCTTTGTACGCTCAGGTGAGAACCATGTGCTGAAGTTTACTCAGATCCGAACAATGAGTGATAAGATAATGGTGAAGTGGGAAGCTTTCTGGCCTCCAGACTTCAGGGATCTGCTGGGCTTCATGGTACTCTACAAAGAAGCGTAAGTTATTCTCCTTAGTCAGCCACAGTCTCTATCAGCCTTGGATCTCTGCCAATACTGTTTTCAGCTTCCTAAGTACTTTATAGATAACAAAAAGCTGAGTGGAAGCATGCAGATCAGTGTGAACATCAATTCCTGCCCCGCTGATTCATTTGTGGCAAAATATAGTAGTATAGAAAAGTATAGTATAGTAGTATAGAAAAGTATAATCTTCTAAACGATCAGATACATTTGTGGAAAGTTTCACACACTGTACCTCAGGTGACCTGGCTCAGGTAGCCAACTGTGTTGTTTTCTCCTTTCTTACAGGAAGGTTAGTTTCTTTAAAGGCTTTTGTGAATATGTTTAAGATGAAGGAAGTAAAATAAAACAAGTAACATAATACATTTACTTTTTCACCCACTGAACCCCAATAAGTTTCGAGGCGTTTTTTGTTCTTAAAACATTTTTTGTCATTATAGGCTCATTTTTCACTGTAGTTTATGGTCCTGCACCTCTATTGAAACTGTACACATATGGTTAAAAGTAGAGACAACTCAGACAACAACAGTAATTTGTACAGTATACCAAAGTTATAATGCCATTATACTTGTTTTTTTGTTTTGTTTTTTTTAAAGCAAAAGTTGTTGTTTTTTTTGATTACTTATTTTTACAAAAACAAGAAAAATTCTGCAATCAACATGCCCATCATTTTTTATGTCCACAGGTATTACCAATACTAGAAGACATTTGTTACTCTGTGAACACAGTCTACAGCTCAGCTAAAATCCCAGAATTTTTCTCAGTTGTGTCATGCAGCACAGTATTGTTTTTGTTTTTATGGAATCTGGTTATTGAAAAACATTTGTTTTTGATAAATTAAGACTTGTAAAAAAATATGATGATGATTAAATATCCCAATTTTAAACTCAGGTTTAATGAAGTTTTTCCACAGAACAGCACGGCACAGTTAAAAAGAAGTCCTTTTATTTTATCTGTTTTTAAAGTTTTAGGTGATAAATGGTGTAATTTTGTAACAATGTTTGTGTGTAATAACTTGTCTGTTAAACTTTCCACTGGGTTTATGTGTCATTTTACCAAAATAGTTTCTTACCTAGTAATACGACAATTTCTTTGACACCATATACTGTGAGGTTTAAGAGCACTCTTGTAGCAATGTCAGACTGGCATCAAATTTGATTTCCGTAGAACCAAAAGTATTGTCTTTCATCACAAGTATTTGGGTGAGTATTTAGTAGAATGCTCGTAGCAGCTCATATAGCAGCCTCAGCTTCAAGCAGACATGAAAAAGGGGCGACAGAGTTCTGATAAGCTCACCTCACTTAAGGCAGTTTATCAGACTTTGAGCAGCTGCCTCTGGAGCTGTGTGAAGGATTTATACGACTTTCCACTTCCGCAGTACATCAACTCACTCAGTGTAAAACTGGTAATTTGTTGTAATGTACAAAACTGCATGAGTCCTTCTGTAAGAGGGTGTTCTATACTTACAGATTGAGCTCCAGCGCTGTCACCTGCTAACTGCAAATCAGGCTGTTAGAATGTGGGATGAGGAGAAAAAAAAAGAAAAGGAAATCTAGATATTTATCACATCAAACCAGCCAAGGAAGCATTTTAAACTGAGCACCATAGAAGGAAAAAGGTTATGCCTAAGAATCTGAGTGATCGGAAAAGACACAATACATCATCACAACAACAAATATGATCTTACTGTTCAGTTCTGCTATGCATTTTACATGTAAATACAATATTTTTGTTTGAAGTTGAAACTCAATATACGTTCTGAAGTGAAAGTTTCATTTGGATACCGCTGTTGTTTTTTCTACAATAGACCTTTTCAGAACGTAACAGAGTTTGATGGGCAGGACGCCTGCGGCTCCAACAGCTGGGTAATCGCTGATGTGGACCCGCCACGCCGAGCCACCGAGGGGGACAAGGAGCAGTTTGAACCTGGTCATCTCATTCTGCCTCTGAAGCCCTGGACACAGTACGCCATCATGGTGAAAACCCAGCTCTCAGCTTCTGACGAGCACCAGGTCCATGGAGCCAAGAGCGAGATCATCTATGTTCGCACCAACGCCACCAGTAAGACTAATTTGTGTCGAATATTGGTTCTTAACTCCTTGATGTGTTTAAATTATTAAATAACCAGTGACTGAATCTGTATTTTCAAAATCTGATGATGCTTCTGCAACGTTTCAATTTACACCCTGAAGAAGGGTGTTGTGGGGTATAATGTTCCTGGTCCCACAACTTTGCTGTGTTGGTTCCTCTTTACTGCTGTTGTATTTTTTTTGGCAAATGGGTTAAGAAATAGATTCACGTGAAAAGTGTTTCATCCATGATTTTTAGTCATCATCTCACAGATGTGCTCAGGCGAATCATGAATCAGGTGGTCTTAGTCAGTGTAATTGAAGCTCAAAATATTTTTTTTTTCCTTGGACTCTTATTTTCATACATCAAATGCATGCAACTGCAAAACACTGTGCCTGAACGCATCCTGTGTAGACAAAGACAGAGCACTGCAGCTGCAATTCAGCTAATGTGCTACTCATGCTACACCTTATGTGCAGACGTGGTGTTAAATCCACTGTGCACTACCTGCCTAGCAACAAACACAGTTAATGACTGGCTAGTGGTCATTGTGGAGCATTTAGCAGCCAAGGACACAAACATTCCAAGTGAATGCTAATCTGCAGCTTCTTAACTGCTGGATGTGCAAATAAAGTGCTGTGTTCAGAGCTTGTTTCCTCTGCCCCTAGGTGACCACCAAAACAGTAACTGCATGTGTTAAAAAATAAATAAATAAATAAAAACTATCCCAACTATTGGAAAAATTGTGAATATTTAATTTGGTAATTGGACAGGCTAAGAATCACTCAACCCTTGCAGAAGACTATTTATACATTCTCTGGTGTATATCCAAACATTCTTATAAAACACAGTGAAAACCAAGTCAGAGCCTAAAAGAATAACAGCTTCTTAAAACATCAGGTTTTGGTCAGCTCTAGGTTATGAGTTGTTAAGCTCTCGTAGTGGAAAAGGTCAGTGTCTTCTTCTGTACTAGAATTCAACTATATTTAGGGTCATCCTGTGGTGTTACTATCATTGGCTGGTGGAGTCAGTGTTGTGTGTGTCAGTCTCACAGCTGCCAAAATGTCCTTGGCACAAGAACAGGGAAGAGGAAGACAGATGGCACGATTTGCCTAGGGTGCCACCGACCTACTGGACCCTGCCTTGTGTGAGGTGTCTGCATCAGTCAGTCACGCAGCAATCATAAACCTTCCCCAGTACCTAATTGTTTTTTACCACCCACAGAGTCTGTCATGTGCAGTTTGGGTTCATCACAGTTATGATGGCCTGTCTAGCTGGCTTCCTTTTAGACAATGTACATTTCCTTCCTGATAGACCGCATCAAACATGGCATCCCTCGTTCGCACGAAACAGGCTCCCAGCAGATACGCATCAGTCAGTGAGGGTTGTTTTTTACCCATCTGACTGCCGCTCCAGGTTTCTGGTCTGTGTCACATCTAACCAGCATACCTCATCAGAAGGGCAAAGCTGTCATTACAAATAAGCTGTTGCTGGTGAAACGTAGTCTGACAATGTGGTCCGACCAGTGTGCTGCATCGTCTCGAAACAAGGACAACATAATCACACTGTGACAACAAAGCTCAGGCCTGTGCTTCTCCTCAGGGTTTAGTCTGACATCCCCACCCACCACTTTTTCTACATATATATCCTCCTGCTCACATAATCTTCCCATAGCATAGAAATGTCAACATGTAAACCTTGTTTGATTCTCCAAAGTGTGACTCCACTTCAGGCCAGGACACTTTATAGGCCTCCCACTCGAAAATCTGATTGAGTTTCAAAAAAACACAGCTTATCAGATGTACAGCGATATAAGTCAAGTGTTCATGCTACAAGCTCATAACCTCGTTTTCTACTTGCAGCACCAAATACAACCTTTATTGTCAGGTGACCGTATGTAATGCAAGTGAACGATCACAAAACAGGTCTTTGTGTAGACGAATAAAAGAACAATCTCACCTGAAACAGTAATTATATAGCTGCCTAAGATATTTTCAGAAATATTGAAACTCAAAAGCATTGCACATTTGCGGCTGATGCCAAAGTCCCCATCCTGTGTTTGCAAATCACACACTGACTGAGATTTCACTCATGCAGCACTTAGAGTGCTTATCATGTAAAGTGTGTCACCACAAAATGACTGGTGTGATGCTCAGAGGTCATTACAGTAAACTGCAACCAAAAAAACCTTGTCAACAAGTCAACTGATGTAAAAATGAAACTAAAACAAAACAACCTTGAAAATAAGTTGGCATTTTTTTCAAAATTAATCATGTAAAATGAAGGTTAGAAACTAAAAACTAGAAGTGAAACTAATAACCTAAACCTCATTTAACCAAATTTTTTTTTAAAAAAAGACCTACATTAAAACAGTACATGGAAAACTAGGACTGAACTAAAGCTGACACATATATACCAATCAAGAGTCACAAGATACAACTGAGAAATTTACAAACATGAACAAAAAACTATATTTTTAAGTGGAAAATGCTACTAACAATCCACATTTCTTCATTTGGTTTTGCATAAAAACCTCTAAGTGTAAACTGAAACACTGGATCCTAAAGCTGAACACATTACAAGCATCAAGCAGTCTGCCAACAAAACAAAACTGATGGGGAATACCCGGAGCAGGCAGCTGTGGGTCACAGAGCAACACTGTGCCAGTAAGTGTGTTCCATTATTTGTACGGTAATTTGAAATGCAAATTGGACTGAAACAGCACTTGTCCTCTGGCATCTTTAACAATTGCCAGTGATTAATTTGCAGACTTGCAGCGCTAATTGTGACACAATCCAAGACAAGGTATTAAATCACTCACTCTCAAAATCACTAATAAGGGCATGCATTTGTTTCAATTTTACTGGATGATCTTAAGATTAATAGTTGTTTTGTGTGTGAATGTCTTTACATGAGAAAAACAGGAAACTCACAAAGCTGCAGCACATGATCAACAGATTCGAACAGTAATCTTGGACAACAACTCGTTAGAAATGTTTAGATATTTAAAAACTTTTATTTACAGTTTTTACTGTAAATAAAACTGTTTTCACATTGATATAATATATAAAATACCATGTATGAGCTGAAACAGAAAACAAGTCCCAAACCTACAGGGAGGGCTGCCACACAATGTAACTCTCTGAACCTCAAACATTTCAAAGCATTTCTCTGCTTTTCTTCCATTTTACTCTCTGTGGGTTCATTTTTCATGCACCTCTGTGAAAATAGTGCAGCTACGGCTGAAGAGGACCACAGAACTTTTTTGTTCTTTTTACAGAATCTGGTTAGCGCAGTCTGGGGGTTTTTTTGGTAATTTTTTTTGTTTTATTTGCTTTTTAATGAAACACAAGGACATGATTCTGATATCATAATCTTAAGCTTTGATGTGGTTAAGTTTTTCAGAAGGTGGAAAATCTAATGATTCTTGTTTGTTAAAGTTTCTAGCTCCGACAAAGGTGTCATACAGACATACTACTTCCATTTAATTAACGGAAAACATCATATCCAGGTGAAGAGCTATCTGCAAATCAAATGAAAGTTCAAAAGTCTCCCAAGAGCTGTTCTCACACATTGCTGTTTGGCTTTATGTCTCTGTAGTAGGTTTTAGAGTAAATTGCAGTCAACATTTATTTAATCAAACAAACAAACAAAAAAAGATTTTCCAGTGACCCTTTAGCAGAGCAGCACTTACCACTCTGAGAGGACACAGATGAGAAGATGCAGTTCGGTTTGTTTTTGAATAACAATAAAATGTCAACAGCTCCCCCTTTTAAAAGGAAATCAAACTGTGAACAGCTTCATCCTTTAGTTGACCCCTCTGACCGATCACACTGTTATTGTAGGGTAATTTAAGAGCCTCCAGTAATGCTTAATTTTAGAGATTCACAGTGAATTCAGAAATATACTAAAAGAAACATTGGCCTCAGTACTAAATGAACATTGACTTCATGCACGTCAGGCTAAACATTCATAGTTTTGTTTTAAAATGTCATTTTCACAATTACATGTTACGAGTAGGTATAATAATACGGTACTTTCACGACGACTACTACTACTACTACTACTACTTTGCATTAGTTGGAAGTAATATGTGCATCTGCAATCCACCAAGATGAGTTGGAAAATGTCAGCATGTTGGATATCAGCAAAAATCCAACATCTCACATCCGTACTTCATCTATTTAAATTCAGATCCCAAGTTGGTTTATATAAGTACAAATACATATTGAAGAACTAAATTCTTTTCTTTTCTTCCTTTTTTCTGCAATGTCTCTGTTTTGTAGAACCCTCAGTCCCGCTGGACCCAATTTCCTCGTCCAACTCTTCTTCCCAGATCATCCTCAAGTGGAAACCTCCCAATGACCCCAACGGCAACATCACTCACTACCTGGTCTTCTGCCAGCGCCAGCCAGAGGCCAGCGAGCTCTACAAGTTTGACTACTGTCAGAAGGGTGAGCCGCATTGTTTGTGGTTGTGTATCTTGTGTCTAGTACTGAGTGACTGGTTTGTGTGTCTGTCTGTTGAACCCTGTTTCCATTATCTGGAGAGCTCTTCTCACTCAAAAGCTCTCGACTGCTACAAGTTGCTGCTGTCTATTCATATGTAATGTCTACTCATGTGTAATGACATTGTGATCTCCTTCTCCTTGATGGATAACTTATATCAAGATATGTGTTGTTTTTCAAATTAAAAGTCAGCTTTTCAAAGACTCACAAAAGTTGGTTAGACACTACGGCCAAAAACATATTTTTTCAAGCACCGCTCAGTTTTGAGATTTCAGGATTTTCTGCTTCCAGAACACATTTTCTCTTAAACTAAAGAAAAGAACTTTCAAACTACACAGCACTGACACATTCAAGATCTTCCTCTCACTCCAGCTCAGGTTCAAGCAAAGTCCATCCATTTTTCATGGCTAAAGTATTTTGGTTGCTGTCTGACCTATGTTGATGCCATCCGTGCCTTTTTATGTTAGCACACAATCAAGTCCAAACTTTCATCTTTGGAACTGTCATAACTCCTACACACCCAGAGAGATTGGAGTCCGCAGGGGGACGTGTCACTGGTAATTTATCTCCGCTAGAGAGGGTTAGACCTGAGGATGACAATGACAGCCATGACCCCTCAGGCGTGTGTGGGGGACGGTGTGTACATGGATATTTGTGCATAAAACTGTTTTATATCTGTGCTTGTTGCACCTGTCAGCCCACTCTGTCTGTCTAAATGTATTTTTTTTCCCCCTCTGGTGCTTGACTCCATTTTATCAGGGATGAAGTTACCATCGCGGGTACCCACTCAGGTGGACAGTGACGAGGAGCAGAAGTGGAATCAGACAGAGGAGCAGGGCCAGGGGACCCGATGCTGTGCCTGCCCCAAAACTGACAAGGAGCTCAAGAAGGAGAAAGAGGACTCAGAGTACCGCAAAACCTTTGAGAATTACCTCCATAATGAAGTCTTTGAGATCAAGTAAGACTCCGAACTATGTTGGAACAATTATTTTCTGCATTGTGAACTTTTTGGAGCTTAATTATTGATGAACATTACCCTCAAGAGAATCATTTAAGTTTGAGTGGAGTTGGAGTAAACAAGAAAGGATTTTAGATACTTTTTTTTTTTTTTGGTCCTCACATTTTCAAACTCAATCAAGTTCAACATTGTTTTCAGTTTAGTCTGGCTTTAATTATGTATTACTTTTAATTATGTGTATCCAGTAATGTGTTCTGTTTGTTCATGTTGGTGCCCGTATGTACTGAAATTGAATTTCTTGATGGGGGCAACAGAGTAAATATCTTTCTATCTTTCCCTCACAACAAATTTAAGTTCATGCCCAGCACACTCATAAAAGTGGCATGATTCAGCCTTATTGTGTTGTATTATAGTTGTTGCTGACGTACTGGGGATTCAGCCAAAGCTTTCTTTCACAACCATCCACCTGTTGCGTGTGTGGACAAGCAGAAGAATCTATTTGTAAATACAGACAGGTGACACATTAGGGGAAAACTCTAACCCTTGAACTGTGACATTTTGCTGGCGTGGTTTGGTTCCACATGTCCCTTTAGAAGGAAGGTTCACTGCAGATAAATACAAAGTTGTATTGAGTGATGAAACATTTCTAACCTGATGGTAGTGGTCTCATCCAGGATGCCCTCATACAGAGGACACGGGGGTCAGGGAGTGCTTTGTTAGAATTAATGTGAATCATATGCTACCACCTTCACAATCATCAGATCTCAATCTGCTTGAACATGTCTGACAACACTCTCCACCACACCGTCAAAACATCAAATAAGGAAATAACTTTCCAGAGATTTTAAAGTCTTGGAGAATCAGTGCCAAAGCACACAGAAGCTGTTCTGATGGCATGTGGTGGCCCAACACCTTACTGAGATGCTTTGTGTAGGTTTTTCCTTGAAGTTGGCACCCTATCGTCCTAGAATAAGATTGTTCTAATTCATGGTTATCAAAGTTCTTATATTATTATATATGTACATATTATATATACAGTATATATGTTGGGTTATACTCGAAAAGGTGGTTCATACAACCACAATACATGTAAAAAGCATTTCAAACATCCATGCAGGAAGGTGGAGTGCAAAGCCAGCCACAGATAATGTTGGGTTTAAAAAAACTCATCAAACCCTACGTGTGTCCTCTGTTGAAGAAGTGTGTTTCTGTCTTTTCAAGTTTTATATTTCTTTAAATGTCTTGTGCTGTTTCTCCAATTTAATGACTTTTATATATTCTGTAAAGCACCTTAAACTTGTTTTTTCCTTGTGTAGGCGCTCGAGACAGCGACGCTCTGTGATGGGCATCGCCAACCGAACGCACCCCTTCGTCACCACCACCCCCAGCCTGCCGGGGGGCACCGGCACCCCTGACGACGAGGATGAGGAAACCTTTGAAAGCACCAAGACCGTAGTCACAGTCCACGCCAAGGAGTCCACGGTCATCTCCAGCCTACGCCACTTCACCAGCTACCAGATCGAGATCCACGCCTGCAACCACCCAACCGACGCGGCCCGATGCAGTATGGCAGCATATGTCAGCGCACGCACAATGCCTGAACGTAAGGAGATAGTTCTCCGTCTGTCAGTGCTGTAATGTTTTCTATCTGTCATCATCTGAGTTTTTCCCCTTCCTGTAGAATTTTCCTTATTGGCAAAGAAAGAAAACTCGTAGATTCATGCAGTGATAACATCGTTTGTGTATTACTGAGGTTTTGTATTCTGAATCAAACATTTTATTTTACATAAAATAATTAGAAAGGAATCATGTACAGTAACAGTCACACACACAAAAAAAAAGATTCCTGACTCTGCAGTTCCCCTTAGCTTCGCCTTTCACCTCATTGATTTGGTTTTTACTGCCAGTTACTGTTTTGGTTGAATTGCCAGCTGTTTCCAGTTTGGCAGCGAAAAGACAGATATGTTTTTCAGCATTTGATATAGAGCAATACTGGATCACACAAAATTATATGTCAATTAAAAAACTCTTAACTTTGGTTTCTGTAAAATATGCTCCTGAACAATAATGTCATTACAAGCCTGGGTTTCTTACTGTATCTGACCCATTGCTTTACACTGAGATTTGTTTATCCCTGTGAGTCCCTAAAACCTGCCAGTGGGTTTTAAATGCTTGTTATAATTTTTTTTGTTTGCCAAAATTACACCATGTATCATCAGAATCAAGTGTCGCATTTCCATAAGCTCTTAAACTTGTGTCACCATGTGTGACTTTCAGTTTTGTCGGAAAACTTACTAAAAACTTGGCCTAAATTTGTGTTATTTCGTTAAAATCCCTTTACTCTATATTGGTCTAAAAAATAAAGCATTTGCACAAACCAAATTCTTTAAAAAAAACTATAGCATGTCGAGTCACCATGTTTTCTAGTATTGGTAACACCTGTAGGTACATGGAAAAGTCTTGTACATGATGACTCCATTTTTTTATAAATTCAACTTTTGTTATACTGCACAAAAGGGATTTTTGAAGTCTCTACTTCTAGCTGTGGTTGTTTTGTTTCCATAGTGGTGCAGGACTTTATATTGCAGTGAAAAAATAGCCCACAGTGAGGAAAAATGTCACAGAAATTTAAAAAAAAAAAAAAAAAGAGCAAGAGAAAAAGATACACAGAGGGAGTGTCTTCAGCCTGTATCAAACCAGGGATATTGTGGCTGCAATGGGATTATAGCCACAAGGAAAGCAGCTCATCACCTATTTACTCCAAGCAAGCCAGAGCTTTAATAGAGACATGAATCATGAAACCATCTCACCTTGTTCTCTGCAGACAAAGCTGATGACATCTCAGGTCCCATCAGTTATGAGGTGACAGAAAATACAGTACACATCACCTGGCAGCAACCCACAGCCCCTAATGGTATGATCATCCTGTATGAGGTCAACTACAAGAGACTGGGAGACACTGAGGTAAAGAAATGTACACACTCACACATTTACAGACACATTTGTCATGGCTTTATTGCTTTAGTATATGTAGTATTGTGAATCTTGAGTCTCTGTGCACAAGTTCACTGTGAGTCCACTGTTGTTCACTCCAACACAGCCTACTCCTACCCAAAGAGCAATTTTACCGTCCTTCTTCTCATTAAACACAATGGCTGGAGCCAGTAATGAGAAAAAAATGACATTTGTCCATCTTTGTCTGGCCATGCAGCACAGACAGCCAAGTGAGGCAATGCTTAATACACAAGATGTACTTTGAAATTTGGCTTTGTGGTGTCAGTAATTTAATTAGTGGGATAACCTTGATAGCAAAGTATTTTTAGCATTGCTTCATGTTTTAGGCACCATGGAGATAGGTCAACAAAACATCAGGTCAGTGCCGAAAGCTGTTAGTTGCTGTGGTAAACAATTAAAAAAAAAACAAAAAAAAAACAACTCAGATGTCCGCAGTAAAAAAACATTAAAAAACACAAACCTGTTTTAAGCAAGGGAGATGACAAAGTGTCAGTATGAAATGAGTCAAAACTTTATTTTAAACTCGGAAATTATGAAACAGCTGTCCTCGGCCTAAACCTCCGCGTTCTTGTTCTGCAGGAGCTGCACTACTGTGTGTCGAGGAAAATGTACAAAGCGACCCGTGGCTGCAAGCTGAAAGTGATGCATCCTGGGAACTACACAGTGAGGATCCGGGCCACCTCGCTGGCTGGGAACGGATCGTGGACTGAGCCCACATACTTCTATGTCCAAGACGCAAGTAAGTCTCTATTAGGACAAACTGAGCCCAGACTTTGTTTTAGTTTTAGTCAGGTTTAGTGGGAAAGTAACTTCATGATTTTCATTGTCTGAAAAATGTTTAGAAATCATTAAAAGACTCTGAACAGTAAATTTGGTTGAATTAGTCAGTGGTTTGAGTTTTGTCTGTGGCCATTTACATGACACATCCATTCATGCACTCCAGTATGTAAGCTGACTGCCATCTAACGGCACTATATTTGAATATATGTAAAAATAAGTTTAAAAAACAGCACATTTTAACAAACAAAAATCAACAAATCAAGCAAAGCAATCCTACATATGCATTGGTTTATGTTAAAACATTAAATAGTGTATGTGATTTCGATCATAAATAGTCTAGTCTCAAGTTTTTCTTATATTATTATCAGAAGTATTGTATATATTCTTTATAAAACTCTAGCATCAGTCACACTGAGAACCTAATCTGGAACATGAACCTTTTTAGATGTTAGACTCAAATCATCAAAAATAGGACAGCAGAGAATCAAGTGTAGTTTTTTCACATCACTCAGTTTGCCATATTTACAGATTCTTTCATAGCATATGTAGAAATATACTCTTTATTATGTTTATTGTCTATATATATTTTTTTAAAGAATCTTTGTACAGATTTATCCCTGCCAAAGACCCACTTAGGATACTTTTGCAAATCATCCTCACAATTGTGGGCACATTTTTATAAACATTTTCTAATCTGTATTTAAAGATTGGACATAGACACATTTGATAGAGTTTGAAATATGCAGCGTCGCCCATATCTCTCAGCAATTTTCCTTTAATATCTCCAATGGTCTGACTTGCATTCTGCTAGAACTGGTGCTCAATAAATATATTACATACTTAATACGTCAATAAACCAAATGCATCAATATTATCCTCATAATATTTAATGCCTTCCTATTGATGTGGGGATCTGCAGCTCTTAATACTCTTTCAATACAGCCTAGAAATAAATGTAAATGTATATAAAAGCAGAATATTAACATGAAAAACCTTGTATGACTCACTCCTCTTAATTATTGTTACCACATCCAAAGATGGGGCGAATTATATTAAAGGGGACATCGTGTTGACAGAGCAGCATATTGATCCTAGCTGTGTGGGTTTGCTGTGTGGAGCTTGTTTTTGTTCTTCACCCAAAATGTGACTCACTGTCTGGTCGGATGTGTTCAACAGGCGATCCTCTCTACATTGTGAAGATCGTCATCGGGCCAATCATCTGTTTTGTCCTGCTGCTGTTTGTGGCTGTGGCAGGATTCGTGATGTTCAAGAAAAAGTATGGGATTACATTGTCACATCCTGCTCAACACTCGGCCTCCTAATATTTTATATTTAGCCAGTAGTTATTTAATAAACGTGTTTCTTTTTTCCCTTTCAGTCAAACACAAGGTCCTAGTGGTCCCATCTACGCCTCTTCAAATCCTGAGTATCTCAGTGCGAATGACGGTGAGCAAAGAAACGCCTTTTTAGTCAAAGCTGTTTGTTTTTACTTTTAAAGTAGATTTATTTTTGATGAGATTGTTGATGGTAAGGACAACATTGAGAAAGTTTAAGAAAAACACAGGTATTTGCTGCTGTTTAGTAACACACATCTAGAAAACACATCCCTACTGTAAACTGTCCACTCAACACCATTGTCGCTTTATGTGAATTAAAGAATTAAACACACTTAATGAAGACAAGACACTTAATCTTGTTCAATACTTAGGAGGAATATTTTTTGTGCTCACATCAAATATGATTTTAAGGCATTTACGTATGAACATGATTTTGTGACATTGAAGTTAGTTTGGAAGTAAATTGTAGTCCCATTTTCAGCTTACACAGGGTGATTTGGAAACCTGAAACCTCCACTTCACTTGTCACATCAGGTTAAATGCAACACTTAAGTTAAACTTAACACGAAAAATATTTACATTTGCTCTACTAACTAGGCTCCTTAACTTACTTAACATCTTAACATTTATTGCAGGGTTTATTGCGAAATTAATTCCAGTGTTGGAAAGACACTATAGTATAGAGACCAACTGCATAATCGCATTATCGAATTTCTAGCCTTAACCCTTTTTCTCCCACTGACCTGCTTTCTTGAGTAAACTCTCTGCTGTAAGATGTTAATGGAAATGTATTTGCAGTGTATGAGGAGGACGAGTGGGAGGTGGCCAGAGAGAAGATCGCCATTTTGCGGGAACTGGGTCAAGGCTCCTTTGGTATGGTCTACGAGGGCATCGCCAAGGACATCATCAAGGGCGAGGGGGAAACACATGTAGCAGTGAAGACAGTGAACGAGTCCGCCAGCCTGAGGGAGCGAATCGAATTCCTGAATGAGGCCTCGGTCATGAAGGCCTTCAGCTGCCACCATGTGGTAATGAGAGATGTCATCTTCTTTCATCACATAGATAAGCAGAGGACATTGTGGTATCAGTTTTGGTTATCGACGATGTGTAAAAGTGCAGGAGGGAGTTTGAATCAGTGGACCACAGCTGTATGTTTTAACTACTGTTTGTCAGTGATTACAATAGGAAGTACTAAATGTCTCATCTTGTGCAAATACTGGAGCTCTCCTACATTTATTTGTGTAAGGGCGGCTGCTTCACCTGATGTTATCAGACTCATTACTGCTTCGAAAATGTAATAAAACATATACTGAACTGAAAATCCCTCTCTTGCCTCTCAGGTGCGTCTGCTGGGTGTTGTGTCTAAAGGCCAGCCCACCCTGGTGGTCATGGAACTGATGACTCATGGAGACCTGAAGAGTTACCTGCGTTCTCTTCGCCCTGACGCTGAGGTAATGTGATTTATTTGAATTAAGTTCATGCTACATTTGGGTGGGATTGGACATCTAGTTTCTTTTCTTCTTTTTACTTCTGCATTTTTATGCAGATAAATGGTACACTGGTCTGTGGTTGCGTTTTTTTTTTTTTCTTATCTGTGTGCAAATTTCTGACGGGATTTTTACTCTTAAAGTGAAGGATCTAAAAACAGAATGACTGAAACTAGTCTTTCTGGAGTGTCTTTGTTGCGCTTATCAAATTGCTCTCTACTTGGGTACTTTCTGACATCTGATCTAGGAATTAGCTCTATAGATACACTTTACACTGTACATGGGAAAGCACAGTCACCACAGATGTGCAAATAGAGTTTAATTCCATCAATGTTTGAATTAAACCAACAATCAATGATCATGTCAGAGTTTTTTTACTCACTCATTAGCTCCATCTGCTGTTTTGTTTCGAGCCCAATTGTAGTGGTCGGAACAAAACTGCATCTACAAAATCTCATTTCATCAGATGAGGAGCTCTGCAGACAAATACAGATCTATTTGTGTGTCGTTATCACAGTAACTGAACTCTTTCAATGTTAACTTGCACATTGATACACGTCATGATGGCTTGCACGCATTCGGTGATGTGTCACCTCTCGAAGTAAATATACAGATGGCACTTTGATTGGAACAGGAGGAAGACTAAGCTGCTGGATGTTGACAGAAGAATTAAGCAGTCAGCACTAAAGTCAACTGAAACCTGGCAGTAGCCTTAAACAGGCTTGTTTGGCCCTGAGTACTAGTCGAGCAAACTGAGTGAGAAAAGTGTTTGTACTGAGCTGTTCAAGCCAAGTGTGACAGTCAACGTTTGATACAGATAGACTGCTGTGGGATTTAGAGAAGTGATACATTTAAAGTGTCAAAACTAAGTAATAGACTGTTAACCCAAAGTCATCGTCGACTAAAATGCCTGCAAGCCTGTATCAGCAGATCAGGTAATGAAAATCTATGTCATGTCCCCCAGAACAACCCCGGGCGTCCGCCACCCACTCTGAAGGAGATGATACAAATGGCCGCTGAGATTGCAGACGGCATGGCTTATCTTAACGCCAAGAAGTTTGTCCACAGGGACTTGGCAGCCAGGAATTGCATGGTTGCTCACGATCTTACAGTCAAAATAGGAGGTAAGTTTTCATTTACTTAAAATAGCCACAAAAGATTTCTTGATTTAGTTAAAAGTCAGTCTGTGCAAACTTTAAATTTTTAAGGCTATGGCACCCCCTAGTGGTAGGATAACAGGACACTGGCAAACAGCACTGTGCGTTGCTATTTACTGTGTCACAGCAGTCTTAAACTGAAGGTTTTTTTCAACAAAAAAAAAATGATGGAGGAGGTGATGAGGAGTAAACTGTTTTTGACTGTGTTTCCAGGAAAATGCTGTTTGTCATAAAGTTTTCAGAGAAACCTTTGGTGTGTCTAATGGATTCTTGCATCAGTAATTGAAGATGCCTTTACGACTGCTCTTACCCATATATTTATCCTACGTTTTCAAACTGTATTTTATATGATTCAAATCAGAGCCGAGAAGAAAACCAAACCAAACTGACTAAAGAGTAACAACAGCATTTTAAGCAAATTGGATGGATGTGTTCAACGTCTGAGACATAAAAGTTGTTTAGGGTTGAAAAAGTTAATACCACAGCTGACATTTTAAATTAAAAATAATATTTACAAAAACTGCAAATGTGAATTTGATTGTAACTTAAAGTATAAATCTTGTAATAATCTTTTCTTCCTAGACTTTGGCATGACCAGAGACATCTATGAGACCGATTACTACAGGAAAGGAGGGAAGGGCTTGCTGCCCGTCAGGTGGATGGCACCTGAGTCTCTGAAGGACGGAGTCTTCACCGCACATTCAGACTGCTGGTCAGTCACACCTCTGATTTTGGGTCCATGTTGTACATGGAGCAGATAGGAAAGTGGTTATGAAGGCAGGGTTTGGGTGACAAATTTATGATACAGCATGTTCAAAATTTCAGAATCTGCATTCAGTTCTCTTCTAATATCCTTGTTCACCAGCTTGTCCTCAGTTTACCTTGTCTCTGTGTGAAGTGTTTACAGACAGATTTCCTCTGTCAGGTGTCTAATTGGTGTGTCTTCATTCTGCCTGTGTTGCTGTTGTTCCCTGCCTGTTTACCAGGTCGTTTGGGGTTGTGCTGTGGGAGATCAGCACGTTGGCTGAGCAGCCGTACCAAGGCCTGTCCAACGAGCAGGTCCTCAAGTTTGTTATGGACGGAGGCTACCTAGACCGGCCAGACAACTGTGCTGACAGACTGTAAGTACAAGCACAGAGCTACGTGGGATATGAAATGAGGAAATTATTTCACACTTTCTGAGTCAAGTCGAGTCAGTTTTATTACAACTGTTTTGCTGACAAATTTATCAAGTTATTTTAAAGCAAAAATGCCAAACGCTCTGAGGTCAAAGAAGATTTGCTGCTTTTCTATCTTATTTCATTGTAATCTGAATGTTTTGGTCTGTCGGTGAGACGAAGACCAAAGACATTTAAAGACCTCACCTTTGACATGTTTCACATATTTCTGACATTTTATTGACCAAACAATTAACTGATGAGCAAGAAAATTATTTGCAGATTAATTCATACACCAACAAACTAAACATTGCAGAAGCCTTTGTATAGGGATGTAATGCAGGGCATGTTGTAAACACAGAGAGGAATGTGGTTTAATATATTTAAAAGAAATATGTTCATAAATTTAAGTATAAATACATAGCATAATATTTGTATTAAAGGATAATGCTGGATATATTCTGTATGTTGTTGTCTGTCCCTAAATATTTTTTGCAATCTTATGACCTGTCTGTGGCATTATGTGCAAAGTACGCAGTAGTTTTTAGATAATGTTACTTAAAAACAAACTTTAAAAGAATTTTCTGCAGCAGGATGGTGTGAGGGATTGACTCAAAATAAACTCCATGTTTATCATGATGGAGGAACACACCACTCAGTGTAGCTCTACTTCAGATTTTTTCAATAGTTTTCCGGCAACAATGGTGCTCATTGGCCAAAAAGCTAGATCAGTGTGTTGGCTGCACAGACGCTACCTAGTGGCAGGACAAATTCATGAATGGTTTTAGTCTTTCATGTTATTTGTATCATTCACCAGTCTAGAGAGACAACCATGTTAACAACAATATGTTTTGTTTTGTTTTGTTTATTGCTGAAGACATCTAATAAGCGTAACAGACAGTCAACACCATAGCTGAGCCTTTCCACCTTGAAGTTGCAGTGTGCTGATGACAATCGATTCAGACTTCTGGGGTTTCTCATATAACAAAATTTTTTTTTTTTTTACCACTTGATTTGAATCCCCTATTCCCTCCATCACTCATTGACCGAACCTTTGCATTGTGGAAGAGCCACGGACTTGTTTCTGTGAAAGACTTCTTTGTTGACGGCAACTTGGCCTCATTTGCTCAATTATCTGCCAAGTTTAATTTGCCCAATGCACATTTTTCAGACTTCTGGGGTTTCTCATATAACAAAATTTAACAACAAATCCTCCAGTTCAGCATATGGCTGAATTGCTCCAGTATTACAACTTGCCATTGTGCACAGTAGAGCAGCTTCATAGTGTTTGAGCAGAGTCATAGGTGAGCATTCCAGCTTAGCCAAGGAGGAGTGAGTAAAGAGAAGAAGGGACTTCATAGACCTGCGCATTCTAGAGGAAATAATAGTGTGTAGTTACATGTAAGCCATTTTAAAGACATGAAGGGATTGTTTTGTTGGAAAAAAAACTTGGATGTGTAACTCAACCACACAGAGATACGTTTCTAACAACACTTAAGCAATTTGTGAGACTGTTTTTAACTAAGCTCTCAATCTCCCCAATCTCCTCACCCAGACACAACCTGATGCAGATGTGTTGGCAGTACAACCCAAAAATGCGCCCCACCTTCCAGGAGATCATTGAGATGCTACGGGAGGACCTGCATCCTTCCTTCCAGGAGGTCTCCTTCTTCTACAGCGAGGAGAACAAACCGCCAGAGAGCGAGGACTTTGACCTCGACATGGAAAACATGGAGAGCATCCCGCTGGACCCTTCATCATACTCTCAGAGGGAGCAGTGCTTGGACAGAGATGAGGCCTCCTCCATGGGCCTGAGGGGCAGCTACGAGGAGCACCACATCCCATTCACACACATGAACGGGGGAAAGACCAACGGACGAATACTGGCCCTACCGCGGTCCAGCCCCTCCTAACATACTGTACACATCCTGCACAAACACATCGATCCTATAGATTTAAATATATTTTTGTTTTTTTGTTTTCATTTTATATAGATCACACTTGTATCACTCTCACCTCAGAAGCCCCGCAGTGCATATCTCAGGACCTTATTTTTCTCTTCAGAAACCACAAACACACACTACAGTAAGTCCACGCACGGATATCAGAAGACACTTTTTGTATTTAAGGATGAATCTCCTGCGTCTCTTGGTTATGATTGTAGTTTATATAATGTATATATATTGCCAAGTTTGTGCTAGACTGAGTGGATAATGGATTCAACTGTGAAACAAACTCTTGACAAACAAGAAGGCTGCTAAACCCACTGTCTCTCCCCGAGTCCAGACTGTGTTCCTCGCCCCAATTCATGAAAAGGGTTCATCCCCGGGTTGCTAAGTTTTGAAAAAAGTGCCCTTCTCTTTTGTCTGTGGCCTACATCAGTCGTCATGAAACTCTGTCTGACTATTTGCAAGTAGAAAATGAAAGACTGAACTGAAAATGAAAGACTTTGGGAACTCTGCTGGATGGCCAACGATGGTCCATCCTTGAACAAACTCTGATCCACTGGAGAAGCTGGTTGAAGTGGCTTACCTCCTCACACTCTGCAGTATTCCAAAATGGCACACAGGATAAATACAGAACTTTTGTCGGGTTATATTTTTTAATTTATTTACCTGTATTTTCTGTTTTCTCTCTTTTTCTTTTTCTCTTTTTTTTTTCTTTTTTTTTGAGTTTTCACATTTACAGCTGAAGGATATTTAAACTGTTTTCAGAAACATTTTGGCAAACGAGTTCCTCAGATTGACCAATAGCTGCTTCATTGGTATATTTTAGTGGGTATAGAAGATTAAAAAAAAAAAAAAAAGTATAAATATATATATATAAATATTCTATTGATGTTTTTGTACATAGTTGATATGTTGTCATTCTTGAGGTATTTCCGGTCATAGAAAATGTTTTTACATGTTAGTCTCTTACGTTTATTTTTTCTAATCCAGAAAATCATACTAATTAGCTTTTTTGGACTCATGATCAACCAACAGCACTTGGTCTTTTACTATGTGATGCCTGGGAGAAAAAGAAGTGTTTGGCGTCTTCAGCTTAAGATGTCTGCCCATCATATCAAGATCAAATAAAATAGTGCTGTAAATAATGCAGCAAGGTGCATTCATGAAGAGGCTTTGGCAGTGATTTTCTTATTTTCCTGGTCTCCTGAGTTTTTCCTCACACTGACATGTTACTGAAGTAAATGCAGAGATTGTTACATGGCTAAACAGGGAATTTGTGGTTTTGTCTTAATAGCAATGGGCCTGTCTCTAACAACAAAGCAACATACACACTCGAGTCAGTTTACATACATTGTAGAGGTTAAATAAGATGGTATATTTGAAACGTATACAGACACTGGTATTTTCTATAAAAGACACATCTGTTAACTCAGTGAATCGATTAGTTGTCTTGTCTATAAAGGGTCAGTCATTGGGGAAAAGCCCACTGATTTAAAGCCCAAAAAGACAAACGTCTTGTTTTGTCCACAACCCAGAGATGTTCTGTTTATTGTCATAGTGGAGAAAAACCAGAGAAGAAGCTGGAACCAACAATTTTAGATTTTTTTTTTCTTGAAATTTTACTTTATCCAGTTTCCAATATACCTGCCAATTAGTTTAATAGTCAGTTAATTGATTAATTGGCAGGGTTTTTTTTATATTTTTTTAAAACACAAATACTTAACACCATCACCATCAAATAATTTTGGTAATTCTCTCTAAGTGTTGTGACAGGTACATACTTTGGCAGGGTATTTGACTTTTTACTGATAATAACTGAACTACAGCTATATGAATAAAAACCGAACAAAAAATATCCATCTTGAATTAAGAAAAAAAAATCAAGGTTGGAAACTGTAAATCATTTCTATATCAGAATATCTGCAGGCATACGATAGGTTGGTATTGATAAAACAGTTACATGTCAGTGATGTGACATATTACTGACATTTGTTATAAAGTGTCCAGGAGTAATTTATCACAAAATGATTAAATTAAAATCAATACAATTAAAATTCCTTAATTTTCCATGAGGAACTTAATTTGTGCAATGAACATGACAAATGCAGCGATCCCAAAAACGATTAATGTCCATTTCTGTTGAGTGTTCCCTCCCAATGATCCTGCTGTTGATCAATACAATCCTGTTAAGGGGTTCTAGGTTGGTGGTACTGTTTCCTTCAAACCACATAACAGTAATGTCAGTCAGTATGGATCTACAGAACTACAGACCGCCTGCGGCACTAATGGCAGAAGTGAAGCTTCCTCGTCTTTCTAAGGAAGAACAAGCATTGTGTCACCTCATCCCAAAGTGAACTTGTGACTGACGATGGTGCCAAGGTATTCAAAATCTTCATGCTCCGCACCACACACACACACACACTCACACACATTCTGGTCACTCCATTCTAGATTCAGGGTATCAAGAAAGTTCTACTTTTTTCTCACTGCCAAAAAAGGCTGGCTGTTATCAGAGTGCTATATCAAGATATATTAAAGGAAAGTTGACTGGAAGGGGAAAGTGTAGTTTAAAAAAAAAACAAAGTTGCAAAAGCAACAGAGATGACCACAGCCTTGAGAGGACTGTCAACAAAAGTTGATTCTTGAACTTGGGAGAGGTTCACAGGGACTGGTGCTGATGTTGGTGCATCAAGAGACACCAAGCACCGACGTCTTCATGAAAGAAGCTACAACTGTCTAACATCCAGATACTCCTGAACCAGAGATGTTGTCAGAAAGCATCTTCCCTGAGAAAAAGAACTCCAGTGTTGCTTAGTGATCCAAAGTCCTCTTTTCAGATGAAAGTAAATTTTGCATTTAATTTTGAAGTCAAAGTCCTAGAATCTGGACAAAGATTGGAGATGCACAGAATCCAAGATGTCTGAAGTCCATTGTGAAGTTTCCACAGTCTTTGTGATTGATTGATGATTTGGGGTGACATGTCATCGGCTGGTGTTGTTCCACTGTGTTTTGTCAAGTCCAGAGTCAACAGCATCTACCAGGAGGTTTTAGAGCTCTTCATGCTTCCATCTGCTGACAAGCTTTATAAAGATGCTGATTTCCTTTTCCAGCAGAGCTTATCACCTGCTCACAGAGCCAAAACTACAACCAAATGGTTTGTTGACTATGATTTTACTGTGCTTGATTGATCAGCCAAGTCATCTGACCTGAACCCCACAGAACCTCCATTTGCTGTATCATCAAGATGAAGATGAGAAAGACCTGACCCAAAATACAGATGAGCTGAAGGCTGCCTTCACAGCAAGCTGGGCTTCAACAACACCTCAGCAGTGCCACAGGCTGATCACTTCCATGCCACGCTGCAATGATGCAGTGATTGGTGGTAAAAGAGCCCCAACCAAGTATTGACTGTTTAAATGTACATAGCTGCACATTTCTGTACTGTAAATTCTTGTGGTTTTTTTTAAGTGGTTTTAGGAAATATTCTGATGTGTTATGGGGTAGTGGTGGTTCAGTAGTTAAGGCTTTGGGCTACTGAGTGGAATGTCGGGCTCGTTGCTGCCACTGGGGCTTGAATCCTTAACCCGATGTGCTCCGGGGACACCACTGTGTGTGGCTGACCCTGTGCTCTAGCTTCCTGGAATATGCGAAAAGAGAACTTCCCCTAGTGGGGGTGTATCAAATAAAATGTACAATAACTTAAGATACAAAATTGTGGGTTTTCAATCCACAATCAAAACAAGTCAAAACAAAAAATGGCTTGAAATATTTGACTTTACATATAATAAATACAGAATCCCATCCATCCATTATCGATACACCGCTTCATCCTCACGAGGGTCGCGGGGGGCTGGAGTCTATCCCAGCTGACTTAGGGTGAAGGCAGGGGACACCCTGGACAGGTCACCAGTCTATCACAGGGCTACACTTAGAGACAGACAACCAAGCACACTCACATTCACACCTACGGACAATTTAGAGTCACCAATTAACCTGAAGATGTTTTTGGACTGTGTGGGAGGAAGCTGGAGAACCCTGAGAGAACCGACACTGCACGGGGAGAACATGCAAACTCCACGCAGAAAGATTCCGGTGCCCCCACCGGGACGGCGACCTTCTTGCTGCGAGGCAACAGTGCTACCAACTGTGCCACCTTGCAGCCCATACAGAATACCTTTTTAAAAATAAATGACCAAGAATGAAGCATGAATACATCATCTACACCTCTCTGCTGCTTGTCTGAAAACTGGAGGGGGTCTGTGAATCCTCACTCTGCAGGAGAATGAGCCTCTGAATGCTAATCAAAAGCACATGCTATGCTTAACAATACCATAACGGCGTTCCTGCACTTCTGGCTTCACTATTCTAGGTTTGAATGAATAATTGACAATGGGAAGTCTAAAGGAATAACTTGAGTAGAACAAAGATGTGCTACAGTGCCATGATGCCACCTACTGTATGACAGAGAAAAGGACACCAAGCTGTTCTATTTCTGCACAGCATCAAATTGTAGACACATTTCAGTGACAAACCATGAGGCGAACAACCAATTACCTCTCAGAGTTAATTATTTTAATACTGTCACAGTGTAGGTAAGGCCATGCAGGGTCTATGCATGAGTGAAACCATGTGTAACTGCTGTACGACTATGTGATGCTTCACTGTGACTCTCTTAGTATCTCCCTTGAATCCTCATGGGTGCCATATGCTTGTTGAATCCTTTCCAAAATAAATGTTTTTTAAAATCTTTTTTCTACAATATTTCTAATAACACACATGATTAACATTTCAAAATGGGTAATGGTCCATCTCAAGGACCTTTTGTTTCACAAGGTTTTTAAGCACTTGCACTTTTCTCAGTCCTGTTCCCTAAGCTGCCATTTAAAAGGCATTCTTAAAACCATGTCAAGCTTGTTTTGCTTTCTCCTCAAGAAAGTGTTGACTTTACAGAAATGGTTGTTCAAATAACTGTAATATTTTGACCAAAATTTACTATACATGAATGCAAGTTGTATTTTTCTATTACACAAACCCCCTTTTTCCATTTAAAGGAGATCCAAACCTCAAACTTTCACTTTTCCTTTAATCATGTTATTTATGAAAATACTGGATAAATGATGGACCACAAATAAATGAAAAAACAACTTGTTTAACTCCATTTTTAAAAAGAAAAAACTATTTCATAACAGGAATGAACATTGGGTAACAGGAATGAAATTACTTAATGAAGACAAACTTCTTCTAAATGAAAATGTTTCTAACACGTTCTTTCTTTCTTTCTTTTTTTAAACACTTCTCTAGTTTGGCCCAGACTTTTTTTTTTCCAATCTCAATGTGACGACCTGGATAGCATCCACAAACCTAACCTTCCTGAAGAAGCAGCTCAGTGAATTATCAGCAGCAGCAGAGCGAGCTGCCCCCAGTCAGAGAGAAACACCTGTAGATCAGACACCTGCCAGACCAACAGTCAGCATGAAGGTAAGAACTTTTACTTCATGGTTTTCTCATCAGCTGATCTCTGTGAACACTTTGAAAGCGGTTTCAGTCCCAAAAAGAGAATAATTTGTTGAATGTAAAGTTTGTGAAGTAGCAGGATTTTTGATGATGATGTCAAAAATGTGATGATTTTTGTCAAAATTAGCATCAAAAGTTTTGGAGAAAAAATGGCGACTTGACCATTTTTCGTTAAATGCTCAAAATCGAATCTGTCACTGAAGGTCCTGAGATTTATTTTTAAGGATTCCGGTTTAAAATTCATATAGTTATGAGGTGGATATTTATTTAATTGTGCTGAGAGAAGGAAAATTATGAACTTATTATTACCTGCTGGGCCAGTGCAGGTAGCTCAGGAGGCTCCTGTGAAGACAAACTGACAGACTGGTTAGTAACACAACGAGATGTGTGTGTCAGGAGGCTCCTCGTGACAAACACTTAGGGGAGAACCCATCGACCGGACCACAGGAGGACTGACAGGAACAGTGAGAGCCACAGGGAGCAACAGGAGGAACAACGGGAAGGAACACGTGGCAGCCTGAGAAGCCAAAGTCTGTTTCCATCCTTTGACAACTCGTCCACTGTCCAGAAGAGGAGGAGGAAGAGGAGGAGCAGGAGACTGGTGGCAGCCGACGAAGGAAGATTTTGTTGTCACCCTCCGGGATCCTGCAACTCCAGCATCCAGACTCAGGTGCCGGATGAGGCTCCTTGTGCTTACACAAGGATTTAGTACATAGTATATCGCTGTCTGAGAAAATGTCATTGTTTATGGCAGAACCAATTAAAAACTGTATCTGTAAGTGTTCTTTTTTTTAATGTGTTTTTGGTCTCTTTAGAGCTCTCTCTCCAAGACTCACAATAATCAATGAATGATCAGATCAACACAAGACACCGTGATGTGACTCCAGATCATGGAAGAGAGGATGCTCGTTATAGTGACACAAAAGGTGAGACAAAGAGGAAATCTAATTCTTTTGTTTTTTGTTTAAGTTGTGTCTGCTACGGCCTTTAACAAAAGGCGCCATCAGTGGTCAGTTCAGAATAAGCAGTTCACCTTCCATGTATGTGTTTGGACGGCAGGAGGAAGTCGGAGCACCCAGAGAAAACCTCACACAGTCACAGAGAGAACTTGAAGTCCACACAGACAGAAGCAGCCGACCGGCAGGTTGGTACCAACGGAAACACAGTGTGCCTTGTGATGGTGTCTTTTTACATACATACTACTGAATTTGTCTCTCACACACGTGTCTGTGATTCTTTTCTTCCATCACAGTGACTTCAGAATCCAAGAAGACAAAGACACAGTTCGAAGAGCCCCAGGATGATCAACGACAGAAGAAACACTGGGGTGTACAATAAATATTTTGGGGGTCGGTGAGGCCAGCGGCTGCAGATCGGACGTGGAGCTCCAGATCCAGAGACGTTTGCAGAGAGAACGAGCACAGGACCTCGGGGGAAACCCAGAGTTAGTGATATGTAATGGTGATGTACAAATGTATGGAGGAGAGTAAAGTAGAGGAGCCCAGTGCATCATGGGAATCCAGCTAAAGCTATAGCAGCATAACTAAGGGACAGTTCAGGTGATCCTGAACAGCTCTAACTATCAGCTTCATCAAAGAGGAAAGTTTTAAGCTGAATCTTAAAAGTAGAGAGGGTGTCTGCCTCCAGAACCCAAACTGGGAGCTGATTCCACAACAGAGGAGCTGATAATTGACGGCTCTGCCTCCCATTCTGCTTCTGGAAACTCTGGAACCACAAGCAGACTTGCAGTCTGAGAGCATCCTGACAAAAACAAAGTAATAAGAAAACTCCTCTGACTCCGCTCCCTGCTCCTGTCTGCATCCACTGGAGGCTCCTACACAAAGGAAAGCTGCTTAGGTTTGCCAAAATCAAATGCATGTAACTTTTCACAGAAACTGGTTTCCACTAATGAGCATGGTTTGGGTGTTTCTCGCAGGGAAAGTCAGTTTGAATGAGTGTCAGACGCTGACAGCTGTGCAGCAGAGCCTGCATGCCGGGCCTCGGTGGAACAAGGCCGCCGTGGACGCCTCCTGTCCGCATTCATCTCAACACTGAAGTCGCTGCTGGCTGAACCTGCGGAATGTGCTGCTGAAACAAGCCATTCCCACAATGCTTAGGGAGGGAGGGCAGGGCTCGTCCAGAGGAGGCTGGGATTTCTCGAAAAACACCTCCTCCCTCCTCTCAGCTCCATTTTTTCCTCTTTTATTTGTGCACTTGTTCCTCTTGAGGCATCTTCACTGTCTTCTCTGAGTGGAAGCTGTTGAGAAGGTGTCACTTCCCCTCTCGTATCCTCGCCCGGAGACACACAGAAAGTTGTCTCTCCCTGCTGCTGTGTTATTTCTACACCAGGTAAGAAGAAGGAACTGTTCCTGGACTAGTTGTTCTTTTTTAGACAAACAAGAAAGCAACAGCAGCAGGTAGTTAATTGGCGTAATGTCACTGCATTAACGTTAGCTAGCTAAACTAGCATAGGAACTTTGTAAGTCGCAGCGCTACGTCGTGGAAAAAAGTTCTTCATTATTTTAACTCGACATTAGATGGAAAACTGACACAATATCTTCCTTTAAATGTTTCTTTTACTCTAATGAGTCGGGGCGGTGTTTGAACCCTGTAATGTGACGGTAGTTCGGGGCTACGTTAGCATACATCGAGCTCCGTCACCTGCGTCTCCTCTCGTGACTTTCCACCTGCGACCTGGCGGCCCGCAGCACCTGTCTGTTGATTTAATGTGACACTTTATCACCAGGAAGCCTCATGAATCCAGGTCAGCTGCTTTCACCTTGGCATTCCTCACATTCCCATTCCGCTGCAATACACTTTAAGTGTGATTTGAGCTCAGCCGTTTTTTTGTTTTTTTTTAGAATCACCGCTTTGTGAACCTTCCCAGGTTATGATGTGTTCAGGGGCTGGTTTCTGTGATGGAAGCTCTGTATTTTCTAGAACTGCTTTAATTGGAGGGTAAAATATAAACGGAATGGTATTCATCTCCTAAAACCGGAGATATCACCAAAAATATACAAGAGTTGATATGTAACCCTCCACCGTTTGGACTTTAGTTGTAGCTTTAAACTTGGATGACTATAATTAATCAAATAAGTAAACTTGACTTTTTTTTCCTCCCCAAAAAAACTAAAGTGGCCATTGCTTAAAAAAACTCAGTTGAAACTTCTAAAGAAGCTAATTGGCAGCTTAAAATACATTTACTGAAGTGGCAATTAAAATCTGCTTAAAGAAGTTGGAAATCTTGACTTTAAAACTGTAATCTTAAACTTGGATGTTTGACGAGAAAAAAACAACAAGAAACTTAGAAAGATTACTTGCAGTTTACTCGTACAATTACTGGTCCAAATATTTCAACAAAACATCAGAAAAAGCAGAACAGTCAAACTATAATTATTGAAAGAAGTTGAAGAGGTCTTTAAAATACATTCAGCAAACTTGGAAACCTTGAGTGTTAAAACTACAGCATTTGACATGTATACTAGGACACTGGACAAAGAAAAAAAAATAATACAGAAGAACCTGAAGTGGCAGTAAAAATACAGCTACTGAGAGAGGCGGATGTGGCTTTCTACGATGTGCTGAGAGAAGTTTGACCATTAAAACTAATGTTGCAAAGCAAGACTAGGACACAAAACCGAAACCAAAAAGAAGAAAGTTGTGAAAGTTCTAAAATATTAAAGCCAAAACATCTGAAAAAAGCCAGCTGGCAACTGGACATTTCAAAAGAAAATAAACCCACAAACTTCTAAATTAAAATGCAAAAATGTTTGTGCTCTAACATTTCAAATAAACATACAAAAATGCTGAAGTAGCAAAACACAGTTGTTGAAAGAAGTTGAAGCGGCTGGTAAAGTGATCCTAAAAGAAGCTGAAGTTTCTGTAAAGCACAGAATTAGACCAGAGTGTCAATTTAATCGCTGAGTTAAGTTGAAGTAGAAAAAGGAGATGAAATAATTTAAATATAAAAGATGAACTGAGCTGGAAGTTGAAGTTAATCCTGTCTAAAGTGTATTAAGTAAAAGAAGTTGTCAGGTGATCAGTTGAAATGCAGTCAAATGCTTGTATTAATTGCATATAAGTTGTGGCACTGGTTTTCCTTAAAAGAACATGCTTGAAAGGTTTTGAAGTGTATGTAGTAAAAGACTTTAAATGTCATCTCGGAGTGTAATGTGCCAAAAAATAAAAAAAAAAATTGAGACCTACTTTTTTCATTTACATTACCATGAATGTAAGGATTGGTACAGACACAAGTCAGGTGTTGTGTTGTGTTTGAGACAGAAGTCGTATGGGTTTCACAATGACAATATTAGAATACAATATTTCCAAAGGAATCAGTGTTGCACCCAAATTTTGTCAGTGGGTCCTGCATAGTTATCTTTATCTGACTGTGAGACCACCATTTTTAAAGTCTTTTATTAGGAGCAAGAAAGAAGCTCTTATTTATATAAAAAACATATATTAGATTGGTTTTTTTAAATCTAAGAAATGTACAGATTTCTAGGCCTCTTATTTGCCTCTCCGTTAGTCACAGAGTTCAGTTTCTGTAAGTATGAGAACATGCTGTATTCCCATTTAATGATAAAACTGTACCAGTGGTTAAGAATGTGGTAGCCATTTTCCACAAGTGGCATAGCTAAGTATTTTACAAACCGTGCTGCTGTATTACAGAGTGTTTTGCAGCCATGGGTTTCCATACAATATGACACCAAAGTCTTCAACCTTGCTTGAGTTGTGTAATAATTCACAGTGAACATGCAGTCTGTATTTATTTGTGGCAGAGCTACATTATTGGTTCATGGTATTGCAGTGTAGACTGTGTAAATTAATGTGTACTTAAATGCATTGCCATCAGGGGACAATGAAAGATGGACACAAAATAATGCAAACTTGATCTTTAGTTTTACAAAGTTTGTCAAGAGATTATTATTTAATGTCCACTGTGCAGATGTGAATCGAACCAACAGCTGCCTGAAAATGTAAAATCCTATAAAACTGTATAATATGCATTCATACAGGAATAAAGACCCCAAGGTTGGCCAGTATTAAAGAAACTCCATTTTCAGCCAGTCTCATATGTTTCGAGTTAGGAAGTGCTGTGTATTATCTGGCACTCCATTGCATAGAAAAATGCTCACTCTTCCATCAGATTGAGAACTTAGTACGGATAGGATTCACCTGTTCATACCGACAGACATGCATGCGAATACAGCACACCCAAAGATAAGAACAACCAGTAACTAGAGGTTAATAAGTAAACTGCGTGTCAAGGCAGGAGAAAAGTGCAAGCAAAACCTGTTGTTGTGAAGAGGGAGCCATTTCACAGAGAGACCTGCTGTTTCTCCCAAATGATTCCTGTATGACGTGAGACAAACGGAGCCTTGAGGGTTTATGAGGAACAAGAGCAACATGGATCACTGGTTTCTTTGAATCAGTCAGCTTTTATAACTTTCTCAGGCTGACAGGTGTAGTTCACGGCCATTGACTGCGGATGGTCGGGCTGGGTTTTACTTGTCATGACAGCATCCACAACTCTCACTTGTTTTAATAGTCCGAGTGTTGCTATGTTGCTGTGATGAGGCCCAGTGACAGCCTAAGTGAAACTGCTTCACACAAACAACATTTAGTATTTTTCTCCGTCGCTCCGTCCTCTGCAAGATACTTGGCAGACTTGCTGGTCTTGTTTTTCTCTTGCAGGGAATGACCTGTATTTCATGCTGCTCCGTTTCCTCTCCGCCCAGTGTGGGTGAATCATTTGAGGTGTGGCTGTCGCATACAACAAGAGGCTGAACCATACAACCACAATATGGATAATAACATACTATGCAGCTTGGCCTTTAAAGAAAGTAACATGATACAAGGTCCTGGGAAAATGTGCTCAAGCAAGTGGTGCTGGAGTGTATTTGTTTTGTTTGTATGCTGACAAAGTTGGAGATCTGGCTGAGGAGAGTGTTTGTAGATCATTGTGGCATATACTGTACAGTACGTGAATCAAAAGCCTCTTAACATTCTGGTAGTAATCGTGATTGACTGCTGCTGATAGCTTCACTGTGTCAACATAAAAAAGGATACTTTTTACAGCGCTCATGCTATTGACTAACAGGCAGTGCAATGGGAGAGCACAAGGAACTTAGTGTGGATCTAAGAGTAGGAGTCATAGGAGTCATAGTTTTGGAGCCTTTTCTAAATAACTGCAGATTCCAAGATCATAATTTAAAAAAACTTGTATGTACGTACAAGCCATTGAAAGGTATAGTCACTTTGTGAAGGTCTGGAAGAATTCCCAAAATGTCATCTGACCCTAGAGCAGAGGAAATTTGTTCGGATGTCATAAACAACCCAAGAAAAACACCAAGGCCAGGGACCTGGGGACTAGAAGCAGCCAGAACAGCAGTGTCACTACTCTCAGTCACAATGTGTACACACCCTCATCTCCTCACTTCTTAGTCCCTCTCACCTGAGATGTTAGTAGAGGAGTCACAAGAAAACATGAAGACAGGAAACATGCATTTAACAACATGAGACATACGACAATGACCGTTAAATCTGATGTATGGTATAGCTGCATCCTCTGACAGTAGCTACATTTTATCATCTCTGTGAGATGAGCACAGCGGTGTTCGCTTCTGTGTTTATGCCACGGACGCACAAAGGACACACTTGTGCCGCCCTGGCAAGCCTCCTCTCTCCTTGCTTGTCTCTTTTTTAGATACATTATGGTAATTGACACATCATTCAAGATTGCGCTCTGAGATCCATTTCCACCTCACTGACAGCAGGACGGAGGAGAGGGGAGACCAGGTAGCACAACAAAGCAGAATGACATTAAGCTTTTTGGATGGTATTTCCAAAGTCCTGACCTCAAACGTATTGAAAATATGTAGACTGTGCTTCAGAGCTTAGCGTGTTGGGATGAATTTTACCGAAGTCGGCCAATTATGCTAAGAAGAGTATTTTAATATCAAACTAGAATCATGCCAGAAGCTTGTAAAAGGCTATCAAAAGGGTCTGGTCAAGGTACAACTTCCTATGGGACATTTAACCAAATACTGGGTGTGCTGTATGCATATTGTTGATCCTGTTTATGCATCCAGAAGTACCCAAAATGAATTTAATTTTGTGCTCCAAATTCTTAAGTTTAGTTTCTAGTAAAGATGTGTTTTCTACAGTCTTTCTTCCCCAGGAAAAGAAAAGGTCAAAGACATCGTTGAAAGCCCAGTATTGCCACGACATTTGTCTGTGGTTAGTATATGTAAACTAACAGTGGCATTGTGGTTTTCCTCCATGTTAATGTTTTCAGACATCAAGAAAAAAGATACAGCAGCCAGAATTTAATGAAAATATCTTTTGGTAAGTGCTGTAAATACCTGCAGAGAATAAGACAGCACTCATTAGCAAATGTTAACATTCCAACAAGCCTCCTTCAGTATGACAATTACCTAGATGACTACTATTACATTACAAGAACTTCACTTTGATGTGGCTTCAGAAAAAGGCTGTGTCAAGTATATATATTAGAAACAAAGGGATGAATATTTTTAATAAGAGCCACCTCTAGCAGCATTGGGAGACTTTCGTTCCAAGAACTGGAGTTAGAGATGCGTGACCTTGCTGTTTTTGGCCTCCTTTTGGAGTGCAGGAATTCCTTGAAGCACTATAAAACGCTGCTATGGAAGTAATTTTCACATCAGTGTTCAGATTTTGATCTTGTCGTGCTATTAGTCTGGCAGCCCAAACAGCAAAAGCTCAAAGTCACACTGTTTTTACAGAGCAGAGTTTTCAAATAGACCACAGTGCTCACCGGTTAATAAATGTATGTTGACTTTCACGGATGGAAAATAAAGAGCATACAAATGCTACGCTAAGTAGCGTGCAAACACTAATGTTAAGGTTTGTGCTCTTGTTCTATAAAAAGAGAGCCAAGGGCGAGCATGAGAGCTCCTGTGTTTGTGTCACAACTCCTTTAGTCAAACAGTCATGTGTGTTTTAGTTGTGTCTGACTTCAAACAACAACTGCTTTTCCTCTGATCATCTTTAGTGAAACTAAGAAGTTTAGGTTAATACTGCTCATTCTTTTAAATTTAAAGATTTCTGTCATGCGTTGTTCCTCCTCATGTTTGATTTGCCGCAAGCTTTGCTATCAGCTTTCTGCTGTCGTTTTATGGCGTGGAGGCATTTCTACATGACTGTGGATCGTTCTCATTGACTCCTGAGGGCCCATTAGCGTGTGCACACAAACAGACAGCCGTCAGGCCGCTGCAGGCCACTGTGCTAAAACTGGGACACACAAACTCTGTCAGACTGCGACCTAGGGACATTCAATGTCACTAGTTTTCTGCTTTTTCCTGTTCTGTTTTTATCCGCTGGCTAAACAAATTTTTTTTTTTTTCCTTTGTGTTTCTCCAGTGTCACAAGGAAACCGTAGAAGACATAACTCGGAAAACAAAAAGGCAGAAGTATATATGAAGAAGGTGAGTCACTCTGGGTCACAGACAAGGAGATTGCTTTTTTTTGTCATTTAAGAACAGAGATCTGAGGAATACTTTAACTTAAAAGCTGGATTTGAAAGTGTCAGTCATCATTTTCACACTTTGCCATGCAAAGATGTGTATCTCAGAGTCGAAAGAATAAAGCTAGTGCCACTAGAACTTGGTGGCACTGATGAGGTGTAATGTCTCTTTAAAGTAGAATAGAAAATGCTGCTTCTTTCTGCTACTATACATGCATCACTGTAATGACCTGACATGGGTAGCTGTTGCCGTAGTGCAGCTCTGTCTCCTCCTGCACTGTTTTTTTAGTTGTCTTTTCCTGAAAGCTGATCTGACTTGAGCTGTATTGTCAAGTTTGCCAAACCAGTTCCCTCTTCACAAAGCTAGATTAGTTTTGCAACAGCCTGTTGTTTGGGTTCATTATCCACTTATAGTCCATTTTCTATGGTAGGTAGCCTGTTTTAGGGCTTGTCAGTCAGCCAAGCACATTCAGTAGCAAATCAAAAAGGTGTGGCTGATTTTATTTCCTTTCAAATTAAGGATGAGTGATTGGGGATATTAATGAATTCTAACTTATGACAGAATTAATATTTTGTGATATATATTTTTTTTAAGTCAAGCTTGAGTTCACTTTTCACTGTGAAGAACTATCACATGAGACACCACCGAAAATGTGACTGTGACACAGAGAGAACAAACGGCATGAATTTATAAGTCTGTTGACACAGCAGCTTAAATCCTGGGCTGGACACAGTGTATAATGTCTATCCTAAATTGCAGCTTTTGATTGTTTCGCAATTTTGATTTGAAATTGGTTAATTGTTCAGTATTGTTTCAAATGATAAACGCTGCATGCATAAAATCCTGATTGCTTTTAACGTGGCGCCCGACATCTATGTAGTGAGCCTCATCCATATATATATATATATATGGTGACGTGTCAAGCTGTACTAATGTTGTATAAAACTCATATATAAAACTGTTTTCAAAATTAAGGAAATAAAAAAATTGTGAATAAATGTGATCAAAACTAGTTGTTGTAGTTCATGTCTTCCACTCTAAAGTAGCTTTGTGTTCTATAATACATACTAATGTAGCACAATTCAGTTTTTTCACATTAGTTCATTAAGTCCATGTGTGAGTTTACATATCTGCCATTTTGTGATACATTATTTTGACTAGGAGTTTGCATGTTCTCCCCGTGCAGCGTGGGTTCTCTCAGGGTTCTCCGGCTTCCTCCCACAGTCCAAAAACATGCTGAGGTTAATTGGTGATTCTAAATTGTCCGTAGGTGTGAATGTGAGTGTGCTTGGTTGTCTGTCTCTAAGTGTAGCCCTGTGATAGACTGATGACCTGTCCAGGGTGTCCCCTGCCTTCACCCTGAGTCAGCTGGGATAGACTCCAGCCCCCCGTGACCCTAGTGAGGATGAAGCGGTGTATAGATAATGGATGGATGGATGAATTATTTTGACTAACATTTGTACCCAAACATACAGTATTTCAGCTTGATGACTGATTGGGTTTGTAGTGTTTTTGCTTTTAATTATTTTATGTCCTATTAATTTAACACTACTTGCCTCCTGTTCTTCAGTGTGTATGTCCAGGTGTAAATCAGTGTACATATACAGTACGCACTCAGCTCCCAGCGTTTTACTGTTTTGAATAGGAATGAAGAATTTCAAACTGAATTCACCTTTTTATACCCAAATCTGAGCCGGCTCACTGGGCAGAATTTAATCAAACGTCACATTCAACCACTAAAACTATTTTGTCTGTTCATGAATGCAAGTAAATGACTATAATTTGACATTTTAATCTAGAAATAATAATGTGCTTTAGTATTTTTTTCTGTTTTTTGTAAAACAGTAAATTTGAAAATTCCTGGATAATAATAAAAAATTATATTTTAGCATTAAAATATTTCTGTTGAAGAGCTTCTACATACTGATGTAATAACCATTATAGAAACATAAGAAATGATTTTGGTAATTACTAATGCTGTTAATTTAGGGCAGCTGTGGCATAAACCTGACATTGAGTGGTGGTCTGATGAATTTGTTAAGCACTGTGTGTATTTAAATATGCTGAGTTCTAACGAAGAGGAGCGCTTTGCTGCACTTTGCTGTGGTTTTAAGTTTACTTCCTTACATCTGTAACTTAATTCTTCTGCACTTGTTTGCTCTTATTTTCCAACCACATGACATTTAGTCTCTGACACAGTACTTATCTGCCTATTCTGCTTATGTTGACTGTTTCTGTCTGTTTGTTGTTTTTCTCACACACAGCACTGGGGAGAATGTTTCTCTCCCGGCCTCCAATGGCTTCCCCATCTGTTGCCTTAGTCCAGGTATGACTGTCACCTCCAACAAATCCAGCCCTCAACCTGCTTCCTCTTCATACCCTGCCACAAGTCTTAGGTTGGTAACAAAGTACACTACTCACAACTGACAGTGCCTTCATTTATTTTTCCTTGTACATGAAATTGATGATTGTTTCGCGGTCAGGAGTCAGCAGTTGTAATTCAAACCAGATTCATTCTGGGCTTGACCGATGTGTGATCTAAAATCTGTTTCTGAGTCATGAGATGTTTGTTGTCATTTTTACTGGCATTGCCTCTTTTTCCCAGCAAGGCTTTGATATGTATAGATATACAGTAGATAAGATCAGTCATCCAATGGAAGTTTCCATCTTAAATTAAGCAATAGCACTAAACACCTGCAGCATTTGTGTGTGCGCGGGTGCGTGTGTGAGTGCATGTTTTTGTGCTGACATCACATTTTAATTTACCTGTTGAGCCTTATCTCATCACATACCAACTAGATCCGGTCTGGCGCAGATGGATGAGATCGAAGGCCCGCGCTGGAAGCCCTTAACTGAGGACTCTGTGTCTCTGGCGTCCTCCGTGTTGGAGCCTATCAACCTCGAAGGTCAGTCTGTCACTGTCACAACAGCAATAGTGGGATGAAACCCCACTGTTTAAAAAAACACTAACACAAAATGTTTATAGAAACTTTACTGTAGTTTAAAGTTGTATTAACCTAGGCTTTATATATTTGTTAAAGTTTAATCCTCACCTATGTGACACTGCACTGTTGATCACTGAGAAATTTATATACTCTTTAATGTCAGTGTAACTACATACATTTACCTTACAAGGTACTTTACTTGAGTATTTCTACTTTAATGGTACTTTTTAAATCCTCTCCACTACATTTCATAGAGAAATATTTTACTTTATACTACTTTCCCCCTACATTTATTTGAAATGAAATGAAATGAATGAAATGAAATAAAAAATACTTTATTCATCCCAGAAGGGAAATTCAATAATAATAATATTTCATAGCTTTACTTAAAACCCACTTTTACGATGGCCACAATGGATAATATAACACTAAATATGGATTCCCCCCCTCTAAACCTCCTATATAGTTTAATTTTAAGGAATGTTCAAGTGATCCAATATCTGACCAAAAACCAAAGATTACAGAAAAAGGCAAAAAGCTGAAAAAAGATTTGTATGTTCTTTTTTTCTTCTTTCTTTTCCCAGTAATGATTGAGGACCTCCCAGATTTATGTGGTTTTCCTGTATATACAACTGCATGTAAAGTAGTTCAAGTTAACTCCACCTGCTGCAGCTACAACAGTAACATGCTGCTGATACACAGATGCTTCTCTATGAATAATCTGATGGCACCATATCACCAAACCAGCATTTTTACCTTTATGCTTTAAATACAGTTTCCTGCTACTACTTTAAAGTAGGACTTTTTTTACTTGACTTCTTATGTGATGGACAATTTTTACAAAGGACACATTTTTGATAAATTCTAGTAATAGTAATTATTGTTGTTGATGGTATTAAAGGTAAACAAAACAAAAATTCTTGAACACAAAGATCGGAATAAGTAGTGCAGTGTTTACTTCATATTTTTGTCAGTAATGGACAGAGAGAAACGTAGTCTGTAATATTACATTATTTTTTATCTTTTCACGGTCAAAAACATCTTAAAAATTATTCTTATTTTATTGACGAAAGTCTTTCTCTGACTCGTAGTAATTACAAGGTGTGACCTAAAACTGGAACCATGTAAAGAAGATTCTTGTCTGAAAAGCTGGACATTTAAAAACGATTAAAAATAACCTGTACATGACAAGTAATGAGTCACTGATATACACATTCATATGACTACAAAGCACAAGTCCGGTTTGAGTGATATGAGTCCGAGTGTGATTGTCTGTGTGTCACCCAGACTCCCATTATGCTGCGCTGCGAGCTGAGCTTGAGTCCGATGCCCAGAATTTGGAGGCAGAGTCGTGGAGCCTGGCTGTGGACCAGGACTACCTGAAGGACCTGAACAAAGAGGCTATGAAAAGACAGGATGTCATCTATGGTAGGCTGAAGCACCGAAGTAAATGTGTAAACCAGACTGACTCTTACTCTTTGTAAGAAAAACAGTTTTTGTAAATGAAGAACCTGTTTTTAAAAATAAATAAATGAAAAGTGTGATCTGTCAGCCCGAAAATCAGACAGTATTTTTAGTAATCACATAGCATATATCATTTTAGTCTCTGTGTGTTTATATAGATGCTAATTTTCTCATGTCAGTCAACCAGTAGAACAAAAGATTTGATCACTGATTGCAGAGTACAAACTGATAGCACTTTTGAAGCAAAGATTACAGTGCCTGTAATTCTAATAATGATGGATGCCTTTTTTTTTTTTTTTCCTTTTCTTCACACTGCATAGAACCTTTTGACAGAAACCACTTCTGGTATGATAATAAGTATAATGGCACCAGTAATTGTCCTTTGACAAGTTCACCTAGAATACATTTTCCAGCTCTGTCCTGTGGGGGACTACTGTTATTTACTTGCATAACTTTATTTGCCTTTGCTTGTGTGCATTGTTTGGCTCCTCACTGGTCGTTGTTAAGCAAGGAATAGAGTATTTAGATCAGTAATCACGAGATCTCTCTTTATAAATTTCCTAGAGTTGATCCAGACAGAGATGCACCACGTACGCACCCTAAAAATCCTTCTCCGTATCTACATGCATGAGTTGAAGCAGTCTCAGCTGATAGAGGTCAATAAATTGGAGCGGCTCTTCCTTGAAGTGGAACCGCTGCTCGGCCTCCACCAGCACTTCCTCAACTGCCTCAAAATGCGGCAAAACCAAAGTCAGGAGGAAGGACAACCAAACAACTACCACATTACACAGCTGGGCGACATCCTCATCTCTCAGGTAGGGCAGAACAGGAGTGCAGAATATCTGCTTTCTAATTCTTATCTACGCACCTACAGGCAAAAAAGCTGCTACAGTTTGTATGTCAACATAGCACATTTGAGGTACTTTTCTATGTAAGGTTTTGCCAAAATAACTGAAGACTGTTGGAAGCTGTCCTACAGTTCCTGAGAGGATATAAAGATTTTGAATTCACCAGAAAAGAAGTGGTCTAACTCTGTCCAAAAAAACAAACTAGAATAAGCATTTTAAAAATGTACATATAAATATCTGAATATTTTACTATGTCAATTTCTTTTGTTTTCATACCCGTCTCCCATTGGCTCTGTTTAAGTACAGGGTGGAGTTCATGTTTTGTCAAGTGACTACTGGTTGCAGATTAGTCACTAATGGCTTCATGTTTTAGTTTTTTGGTTGTCGTTGTTGGTTTTTAAAATGACATGCCTTTCAAGCCCACTGGCAGGTTTCAGCATTCAGAGAGTTAATACACAGTTTAACTTCAAAAACAATTAGGCTTGCATTCTGCTTGCCCACAGTTTACTGAGTCGTTACTACTCTCCCTGAATGCAATGTTTACATTCATAGACAGAGGTCTACAACAAATAATCTTACATGGAGTTTTCCAGCAATGTAGCTGTCATAGTGACAACATTTTAGTATTCAACCTTTACATTTCATTATGTTTTAAAAATAACATTAGGCTGACTTGATTTTTTGCGAGCATTGCCCCCAGTTGCTTTGTGCCTATTGTCATTACAGTCCAACTCATGATGTTATTAATACTGTGACAGGCACAAATACAAGATTAGGTTTGAGGTTTGATCTGTCATTTACCTAAAATACAAGTTTTTATTTAGAAATAAAATGTTCGTGGTGTACCCCAGGTTTTCCTGCTTAGCCCCACCTTACTCTTTGTATCCAGCCACCTCTTTCCACCCTTGTCAGTCTCTGTGCATGTGCATTGTACAGTGTACAGGTGTCCAGAGGAATGGCTGGTATGTGTGAAATGCTATACAAGGAGCCACAGATGGGTGTGTTGGGCTCCATGAGCCCAGGAATGATGCAGTGTCACATTGCCACAAAAGCATTTTCACATCTGTCAATAAATTTCCTAAATGTTTGGACCAGACTATAAGAACATATCCTAGTGGATTGAATGTAAATTTGCATTTGAACTACAGTGAAATGTATTGTAATATGTCTGGGCTGCACGGTGGCTCTGTGGTTAGCACCGTTGCCTTGCAGCTAGAAGATCTCCAGTTTGTGTCCCAGTTAGGATGCCTGGAATCTTTCTGCGTGGAGTTTGCATGTTGACCCTGTGCAGCGTGGGTTCTCTCCAGGTTCCTCCGGCTTCCTTCCACAGTCCAAAAACATGTTGAGGTTAATTGGTGATTCTAAATTGTCCGTAGGTGTGAATGTGAGTGTGCTTGGTTGTCTGTCTCTAAGTGTAGCCCTGTGATAGACTGGCGACCTGTCCAGGGTGTCCCCTGCCTTCGCCCTAAGTCAGCTGGGATAGGCTCCAGCCCCCCATGACCCTAGTGAGGATGGATGGATGGATGGATGGATGGATGGATGGAATATGTCGAGTTTAAAAAAAAAAAACAAAAAACAAAAGAACTTTTTTTCTTTCACCAGTCCTGCTTTATGTACTCAGATGTGTAGCATATATGAAGCACACAGCGAGATTACGCAAGTTTTCATAATATGCCGTGTCTCTTCTAGCATGATATGATATTATATGAAATATAAAGACAGACATTTGTTAGATATTGTAACAAAGTGATTCTAAAGTGTGAACAGGCCAGTATCTGACAAACTACAGAAGCAGTCAGCTACTGAAAGTCTGACAGTTTCACTAGTGGGACGGTCTGACATTCATAACATTGTTGACACAACTAATTCTGTCACTTCTCACTCTACCACCAATGACAACACATTGTATGAACAAATTATTTTTTAGTGCGAAGAGGCCCAAGCACATAGCAGTGATACATGCTGTGTGTGTACACAAGTACCCATTGTTTTTCTGTGTAAACCTACAGACCTGCGGCACCTGAGTTGACACACGTGAGCACATCAGAATCCAGCACTGTCCTATTTCTTAGTATCAGCTCCCGTGAAACGCAGCAATTTTGTCACATTTGCTCTCAGATTTTATTTTTCAAGTGACTGTTCCTTCTGTATGACATGCACAGTGTGTGTGCTCCAAGGATGTGATGCTTGGTTGCAAGGCAGATGTGCATTGCACTTTGTGTGGATCATAAAGCCACTGTGTCTATTGGGACCCTCTCCTAATTTTCTTTTAAATAAACACAATGCTAATATATTGGCTTTTTGGTGGTAAATTCAGTTCAACATTGTAACTAATATATTTTGCAGATTATGGAAATGCCAAACCTTTCCTTTGTTTTTAGTTTTCAGGTCCACTGGGAGAACGAATGTTGGAGTGGTACAGCGTTTTTTGCAGCCATCACAGTGAGACCATCAGCTTCTATAAAGAGCAGACGCAGAACAGCAAGAAGATGCAGATTCTTATGAGAGTAAGTAATCTACTCTCACTAGTCGCTTTATGTAAGTAGAAGTGATAAAAATAATGATAATAATATGACTATTATTTTTGTTGCATCTTTCGGTGTTGGAGTTACAAAGGGTTTAACAAAAAGGAGAAATAACAGTAAAACATTAGAAAAACATTAAAAAATAATATACAAATACCAATTTATACAGGTGTTTTTTGTACAGAAAAGTAAAAAAACAAAAACAAACAAAAAAAACAATTAAAATGAGACACTGGCTGAGCTGTTTTGACAGTCAGAGGAAGCTTGTTCCACAGTATAGGACCTAAAGCAGTGAAAGAATTGCCCCCTCTTTGTTAAGCTTTGACTGTGGAATTTTTTAACAACAACTGATTTTCTGATCTGAGGGGTCGACATGCAGAATAAGGACTCAATAGTTAAGAGACTTGTAGTGGAGCCACAGTTAAAACAGCAGGTATAGTAATAAGTGCTACATCAGTGTAGCTAATAAACAGGCAAATACATTTGATCAAGTTTGTAAAATCAAAACCTCTTACTTTAACAGAAAGTAGGTCAGCTGCCACTAGCGCGAAGGCTGGGAATCTCTGAATGTTTCCTGTTGGTGACCCAACGCATTACGAAATATCCAGTTCTGGTGGAGCGGATCATACAAAATACTGAAGGTAAAATCTCACACTCTTAGCTTCCCTGCCTCTCTACAAGTTGTTTGGGTGTTTTTTTTTCAGACTTTTGGTGTTTACCTCAATGATATAAAATTAATGAAATTGAGTTGGCGATCTTCATAGTGACACTGTACAGGCCTTGTAAGGCTGGAGGTTTATTTTACTTCATGCTCCTTACAGCTGACACAGATGAGTACAAGTCTCTGGTAGAAGCTCTGGGGCTGATAAAAGACACCATCTCCCAGGTGGACGCTCAGGTCAGTGAATATGAGAAAGCAACTCGTCTGAAAGAGATCAGCCTGCGTCTGGACTCGAAATCTGTGGGCCGGCTGAAGAACAACCGGCTGCTTCGCAGAGAGGATCTGATCCAGGACAACAGGACGCTGCTGCATGAAGGCACCGTCACCTGGAAGTTGTCTGGTAGACAAAAAGGTTAGTGACCAGTTTATGGACGTTGTGGCTGAGACCATTTCTCCCAAATATGTATGTAAAGCAGTTTACTACATATTCAAACTGTAACAATGTAGTGAGACTTTGGATTTTCCAAGACTTTAAGTACCTCAGGATCTTGTTCATGAGTGACGGAAAAATGGAGTGTGAGATGGTCAGATGAATTGGTGCAGTATCAGCAGTAACATGGGTGTTGTACTGGACCAGTGTGCTGGAATTAAGAGTTCCTTTATGTTCCAACACTCACCTATGGTCATAACTGATGGCAGATACGTCAGGCCAGAATGAGTTTCCCTCACAGAGTGGATTAGACCAGCCTTGGAGATAGGGTGGGGAGCTTGGACACCTAGAGGGAACTCAAGAGTAGAGCTGCTGCTCCTTCATGTAGAAAGGAGTCAGCTGAGATGGGTTTGGCATCTGATTAGAATGCCTCCTGAGGGTCTTTTTTTTAATTTATTTTTTTATTTATGGGCACATCCAGCTGGGAGGGGACTACAGTGTAGGTAAACTCACTGGAGGAATTACATGTCTCATGTTGCCTGGGAACCCTTGAAATGATTGCTGGAGAGAGATGTCTGGAATGCCCTCTGAGCCTGCTGCACAGTGACCCTTTCACCTATTCACTTAAGACTTGAGATGCTCTGGAAGTGTTGTGAGAATCTAACAAGGTCTTATTCGGTCAGATTACCTTTGTGACGGAAAGTAAGCGTCACAGTTTTGAACCAAATAGCCTGCACATGTAAATTGACATTCAAACGCCACTATTCTTTAGGGGTTTAATTGAGCTCAGAGCCAGCTTTTGCAGTCATCATAAAATGTCAGCATATCTTTAATTTGTCATCTGTCCCTGTCACACAGAACATCTACAGGTTGCTTTGAAATTGCACTAGTGGCTCCTATCTGGCCACTGGAGGTCAAAAGACCAACTGATGAAGCATCAAGTGATCTACAGCATTATAGGCACTGGAGACAATATATGTACACTTGTTCCATTTTGTGTTTTGTTTTTAGTAGTTTCAACATTTGGGAAATTTGTTTTTCTTCAAGCCAAAAGGTTCTCTGAACCAGTATAACAACATGTTGATGTGTTACTAAATGTCAAAGATGAATGGTCACATTGACTGCATTGTCTGATGTCCATCTTTCATGGCACGGTGAGTCAAAACATCAAGCATTTGTGTTGCTTTGATGCTGAGCAGCGTTCTCTGTCTGCAGAAATCCATGCTGTGCTGCTGTCAGATGTGCTCCTTCTCTTACAAGAGAAAGATCAGAAGCTTGTATTTGCTGCTTTGGTGAGTTCTGCTCAAACTGTACTGTCCAGTATCACTGTATCATTTATACATTCAAGGTTCTTCTTTTTTAAAGATTTCCTGTAGAAACAATGAGTCTTACCTGTCTGATCGACAATAACAACTATACAAATTTGTTAATCTTGCATGGTAGGATGTAATTATCCAGGACCAATCATAATAATCCTTTACATCATAATAAAACCTGCTGTGTTATTGTGGCTTATGCAGGATAACAAACCATCAGTGATCTCACTTCAAGGACTGATAGTCAGGGATGTGGCCCATGATGAAAAAGCCATGTACCTCATCTGTGCATGTATCTCCAGCATGCCGGAGATGTACGAGATCCACACAGGCTCCAAAGAGGAACGCATCACTTGGACGACCCTCATACGAGAAGCAGTGGAGGGGTAAGCTCAGTGCTTCTTGTAAGAAATATAATTTTTTAATAGAGTAGTTGCAACGGCATTTGACCGCAGTATTGATATCTGACGGTCAAAGAATCGAACATGACTGAAATAAGAGCAACATAACTGTGCACATGTAGCACATCTTTCAAACAGTCATTGCTCAGATTCTTGCAGCCTCATCAAGCATGGCTACATCTTGTATGTAAAGCAAACATTTTGGCTTGAAGGTAATGCAAATGAAAATCTCACAAAGGTTTCAAAAGATAGTTTCCTTCTCTTTGAGTCATAGGTGAGCACAAAAACTCAAAAAATAAAAATCTGCCTGTTACAGTTAAGATTTTGATTTAAAAAAAATGTATATAAATATGGCCGTCAGCTTTTAAGATACCTTTTCACTGAAATGACAGGGAGTCAAGGGAATCAATATTATGCAACGGTCATATTTCAGTCTTGTCAGGACTGATTGTTTCCAGGGACCTAAACATTGAACAGAATGATTAAGGACCAGCTAACGAATGTTGTCATCCTTTCAACGTCATTTACCACCTCTCATCTGATTGAATCAAAAACGAGCATTGTTATGAGGACTTAGAAAGACAGCTGGTCTTTTTTTAAAGTTGTTTTTTCCTTAGAATATTATATAAAAGACTAGACTGAATAAGGTGTTTGTGTTATTCAGTTATCGTGAAGAGGAGGCGTACCATGATCTGCTTGCTGCACTGCAAAATGTTCAAGGTAAGACAGCCAAGATTACTGGCCACTTACTAAACACCAGGTCAGTGGACAAAGCTGATCAGATAGGCTTTCTTGGACATGGTCAACAAAAGAAAGGTCCACTACAAAAGAAAGGTCTACTTGTGCTTAGCGAACGGCTCACTTGTGTGACTTTATCACGCTGTTTAGCAGAATTGTTTTAAGAAAGGTTGGACTGGGTCAGACTATAATCTGAAAGTGTAGCCTCTTACCACAAAGACTATGTTTGGAAAGAAATTACCAAAGTATATATAAAAATGTTTTTCATTATTATTATTTGTCATAGCACACTGTGAATCCAATCTTATCTATCTACTTGTCCAGAGTAAAATCTTTTTTTCTCTCTCTCTGCATTTCCACTGTTTTTTTTAACTTGACAAATGGGTTGTTTTATGATGTTGCTCTTTAGATAATCTAAAGGTGAGGGATGACCTGATAAAGCAAAGTCTGAAAGAAAAGCAGCTGATCTTTGCTGCACTCTATGAGAAAGTGACTTCACAGGAAACCCCCCACAAAGGGCTGCTGCTCCGAGGAGACGCAAATGACCTCCAGCAGGGGGAGACACTGCTAAATGGAGCCATCAATGAGGGTGAGGGCAGAGGCAACACCAGTCTGTACTTCATGATTTCTAGTGTTACTCATGTTTGTTAGGATCCAACTAATGTGACAGTTAGATTTAAGCATTGAAAACTGTGAAACCCTCATGTCATGACACAGAGCACTGATGTTATCTTCTAAGGAGGAGATTAATCATGTTTTTTTGTCTGCAGTGGAAACCCTACAGAACCTGCTCTTCATGAGGATAAGAGACCCAAACCTTCCTCTGGATGAGAGTGTGATGCAGGGAGGGCCTTTAGGGGGCCACACCTTTGGAGTGCCAGATGGTAACCTGATGGCTACCACCATGAATAGTAGGATTTTTTTTTTGATATTATATTTGTAGTACAGCAGCATACATGAATGGGGCATCATAATCATCCTCACATTACTTTAAATGTATGAACAGCAGTCAAACAGCCTCCTCCAGACAAACTCTTTCCCATTGATCAGGTGGTGTTTGAAAATGTCCATTTGATATCTGCAGCACACTTTTTCTTGGATGTCGCAACTGCAATCTTAACAGATAAACATCAGGGTTTGCAAAAGAAGAGAGCTGTTCACATTTACACAGTGGACAGTGCAGTCATTAATTATGTATAAATATAAAATGTCCACAACATTCAATCAATCAGGACCTTTCAGTCACATTGTGCACTTTTCACATCAGGCAGGTGAGTAGTCACAGTTTATACTGCAATTAAGTGGTTGGTTAAAATTGGATTTAGATTTAGTGTTTAGCATGCATTATTATGCATTATGTCACTTGACACTCTCTGTTCAATCTTGGGGAGTTACAAATATCGTGCATGTATTGTGGCGCTAACAGTCACTGTGGGAAGCCGTGAGAAACATTAACATGAAAGTGACGTTTGTCTGAATGACAGAATGTCGTCACTTCACCAGGTTGAAGCCAGCAATGTTACACATCCCATGTCTGAAAGGTGAAAGATGGTAAACATCATGACAGACTAATAAAATAATCACTTACTTTTTTATGTAGGTGAATGTGTGAATGAATTCTTTTTCTCAGATGGAGATGCAGCTGATCAGCCGGATGGCAGCGACAACGGTCTACTGTATAGCGGTCACACTGGTAGTGAGGACCAACCGCAGGAAATATACTACTCGGATGACATGGAACAGTCTGTGAGTGGGACAGATGTCAAGGGTCTAAACCTGACGTTCTACCATCTGCTGATAAAATCTGAAATATTTAAATACTTTGTCTTTTTAATTCCAGGCTGATGACGAAACTGACACCCTCCCAAAGCCAAACTGCAACTCAACCCTCAGTCATTTCCCTGAGGTAGAGTTAACGCTTGTCATACTTATTCTGTTATTCACTGTCCTTGTTTCCATCTCTGTTCATTCATTCATGCTCAAATATATCAATATTTGTTGCTGTGTCTCTCTGTAGGTGTGTGACAGTGTGATAAGGCTCGCACAGAGGCTCTACAGCCTACAAGTAAGACTGCAATGTGCTTTAAATCTGTATTGCACTCTTTCTCTGAATACCTCATTATCTCAAGTCACAAATTGTTGTTTTTGTTAGCTTAATGCTTGATTTATGAAAACAGTGCCATTAGTTTTCCTCTACAAAAATAAGAAATTCTCTGGAATTGGTTTGCTATATTAAACTTTTCAATGTGCAGGCAATCATTGTCCAGCAGGACAGCCGGATTGAGCTGCAGAACGCCTTTCAGTCAAAGAGCAAGCAGCCCACTCGTCATTACAGCAACGTGCTGCTTGAGCAGGAGAAGCAGCGCAACTTAGAGAAGCAGAAGGAGGAACTTGCCAATTTGCACAAACTGAAGGCTCAGCATCGAGAGGAGCAGCAGCGCTGGGAGAAAGACAGAGAGCGACAGAGGATCCAGATCGAGACTCTGGAGGCTCAGCTGCATCAGAGGGAGGAGGAGTGTGGGAAGTGGGAGGAGAAGCTGAATGAGGAGAAGGCCGAGCTAGAGAGGCAGAAGGAAAATTACCAGCAGGACCTAGAGAGACTTAGGGAGTCCACAAGATCCGTGGAAAAGGAGAAGGAGCGTCTGGCTCAGGACAAGGACCGTTTGGAGCAGCTGCAGGAGAAGTTGAAGTTAAAATACATCGCAAACCCAGGACCCTCAAACTATGATGATCCTGCACAAGTGAGGAATGAAAGAAGATTAATTTAATGTCCATGTTATTATTATTGTGTATTCATCTATCAGTATCATGGAGTTCTTCATCCATCCATTTTTTTTTTATGTCCAGCTTTAGCCTGTAGAATCTAGAGTGGAAACATTAAATCAGCAAAGTTTCTATAGCTACATCGTAATTTCACATATTCCTAAACAAGATCATCAGGACTAGTGTAATCCTAACATTGACTTCCAGTGCATTTTAGGAAAACATTTTTTTTTTTTGGTGTTGTTTAAAGGAATTTTTAAAAAGTAATTAGAATAATGTCAAATAGGTCGAAGCCCAAGATGCGATCAGTTTGTTCAGCTTTCTGTGACAACAGAATTTGAATCATTTCATTTTTCTTCCCAGTCTTGGAGTCTCTCCAGCTACCCGTCATTCAGGGGAAGCATCGTGAATGGTGGTGGGACCTTAACTCCAAAGCCCCTCGTCTTGCCCACCATTTATTCTGATTCTATGGAAGTTCCTCCAAAAGTTCCACCGCGCAAGGAGAGTATTAGCCCCCAGCCAGTCAAATCCGAGCTGCCCATCCACCTGATCAGCACCACAAACCAGGTGTACAAACCTGCAGCCGTGCAGCAGCAGATCCCCACCAAGCTGGCTGCTCTGTCCAAAGGAAAGGAGAAAGGCTTTAAGACAAAGGCGTCCCACCAGAGAACACACAGTGCAGGTCAGGACACGGGTTAACAATAGCCAGGCTCAAGATGGGTTTTTTAGATCTTTGTGCAGTTTTTTCCTTTAAAAAATATTAAAAACTTGCATTTACAATTTAGAAAGAAATCAACATTTGCAGATATTGATATTGACTGAATACAAATAAACTTTTACAGACATCGTTGTTCAGGAGGGCCAGCTGTTGCCCTACAGATAGCAAATGGTAAATTCAAGTCAGCCTTCAGATTTAAACGCCTTCAAATGTTAAATGTTAATAGTATTGGGTCAACTTGCATGGTTACGATTGCTTTTAATGACAACACACTGTAAATTCCAGTCCTGTCTTTCTACTTGCAGCTTCTATAGATGTGAACCAGGTGCTGCCCATCAGAGTGACGGGGAAGGAAGGAGGCAGCCTGAGAGCCAGAAGGACCACCAGTCCTCAAAGGATCTTCCAAACAGGTACAGACAGTTCAGCTCAGCCATAGAGACATCCCAGCTGGCAGAGAACATTCCCACGACATTGGTTCACATTACCTACAGGTTCTAATGTTTTAAAGAAAACTTCTTAAGCTAATGTCAAAATAATGTTTATCATTCAAACAATGTTCCTATACGGTTAAACGACAAAATACTTTAACTGCAACATTCAAAGGATATTTTCAGGTCACAGACTGTTACATGAAACAAAGAACATTCTCGAACTAGCATTCCAAAAATGTTTTCAAGATGTTATGTAGGTGTCAGATGACGCTAACCTTCCTGTAATGTGATACAGCATTTTGTCTGCAATATTTTGAGGACGTTTTTTGGGATGTTGTTGAGGGAACACATTGCAGAATGTTCTTCAATCAAATATCCCCACAGTGTTACATGATAACAAAAGAAAACATTTTAAGGATGATGGGGCCTAATAGTCTAACAGTGTCATCAAACATTTATTAAATGTCTTTAGAAAACATTGTTCTACCTTTTAAGAAGAACGTTCTGGGACTTTGCAAAACTTTCACGGAATGTTTTTTAAAAACAAAAACAATTATAGCCGGGATCACGTATACAAAAGAACGTCAGCATTGTAGGCTAAGCTCTATTTCTGGTGTTAAAAACTAATTAGGTAAAAAAATCATTTGATATTAAGGGAAAACTTGGTGTTTTACTTCATTCAGTATTTGTATTTTAATGGTTTACACATGGAACAAGTGTTGTAATGTCAGACCTTTAACCTGACAGCAGTTTTTTCCCACTGTGATGGAAAACAATTAAATAACATCAAGAAACTAGGCTAAGCTTGAAAAAAAATAAAAATGAAATATATATATATTGATGACTTAACAGCACCTTCTTGTGGAGAATATGCAACCTGCTGAATGTGAGTAAGGAGTTTGTGAGTACGAGGTAGTTTTATAACAGAACAACAATCTTCAATTAATGTACTCCAGTACAAGTGTTCTGCCATATGTCTACTTATGGACACCAGACAATTTCACATAGGTTGTTAATTCCATTATATTGTATGTAAGTTTTAGTATGGAGGTCATAGTTGGTGGAAGACCACATTGTTTGGAGATGTATTTAATATTCTGCCCTGTCATTTAATGTAAACAGGAACACACAACAATAATGTATTTCAATACTAAACCATCAGTAATTATAACCACAGTAAACGGAAACATGGTACATTTATAATAATACCAACAAAAACGGAACATTCAAAACTTCATACAGGTAGAACTGAGAAAATCCTTATCAGCTCAGATGGTCGCAGTCCATCTACAGTCGTCCTCAAATGTATTCATACCCTCCCATTAAAAAAAGTGGGGGGGAAAAACAGCTGTCACTGAAATAAGTTGAAATTGACAAAAGTAATAATAAATAAAAAAAATTATGAAAATCATGACATTGTTTTTGAATTGCGGTTCAACAGAAATATTTTTTAAAAATAAAATAAAATAAAACAAGCATGATGGGACCGTAAACTAACATTTTATTGAACAACCCTTTGAGGCAATCACTGCAATCACGTGTTTTCTGTAACTCTCTGTCAGACTTCTGTTGACAGGTATTTTGATTTCGGCCCACTGTTCATCAGCAAAGGGACAGGGACTAATTTGTCCGGGACAGTTTTGTTTAATTTTTAGAATTATTCTTTTCAACCACAATTTAAAAAAAAAAAAAAAAAGTCTTATTTCACTAAATTATAATTTAGCTTTTTTTAAAAATGATTTATTATTACTTTTTCAGTTTCTAGTTATTTGAGTGACTATTGTGAATTTTGCCTTTTCTTTAATAGAAGGGTATGAATACGTTTGAGGACGACTGTATAAGCTACTGTGTGTTTCACTGTAGTCCTCTCTTCCCTGGAGCTCCATTTTCTTTCTTTCTTTCTCTCTTCAGACACCTTCAGACCACCAGGATCTGCCCAGAGTGTGAAACCGTCGCAATCCTTCAGTAAAAACAAGTGGAGCGGCGGTGACACACCTCCACCAGCACCACCTCCTTTCCCTAAAGATGTTCTCAAAAAAGAAAAGGAAATATTCTTATAATCATGAACTATAGACTGGAGTTTGGATGAGGCCCGTCCAGCTTACAGACTTCTACACATGGAAACACTGACGGACCTGTGAGAGGACATTACACGTGTCTTTGTGACGTCTCCGTGTGTCCAGCATGAAGAGACCAGTTACTAACGTGGTACTTTCACAATGTAAAACAGCTGTTGCGGTTCAAATGAGCTGGACCTGAAAACAAAGCAACGGTGAAGATGTTCGATAAAGACAATATTTTAAATGAAGATTTTATCTCCAAAAATTTTTCTGAGACTTTATCATTTTTATTTTAAAAGAAAGTAGGTTGTGTATAACCATTTAGCACTCACGTCTTAAACTTTCTATTTTATTTAATGAATGACAAACACTGTGAGGAAGCTATAGATTTGACAAGTTTACATGTGTCTAAGTGCCAAGCACAGAATTGTATTTCAGAGTGAATCAGATGATATTGACATTTTTACCGCAGACCCCGGACTGTCTGCAAATTAGCAGGGTTTGTAGAAAAAAAGCAGAGCCTGACTGTAAACACATTATTTGTAAATGTAAAATGGGAACTGTTGAACTTCTCACTGCAGATAGTGACAGCCCACAGCACAATGTCTTCAGGAATGTTTCGAGCCTGTTTGCAGCCTGCTGAAACACTTGATACTCAGAATGGTGTCTGATATTCATTGTTAGATGTTGATTTGGAATAATGAAACATTTAACATTGTGTAAATAATTTTCTGTGGTAGAAACACATTGTCCACTGTCAACTCTTGTGGTTCCATGTAAAATATATGACAAATCCCAACTAACGAGTCATGGAATAAAAAAAGTGTTTGATTCAACAGCCTTCAGTGTTTCGTGAATTCCGACGGCTAAAGAAAACCTAAAATAGTCTTTCGGTTTCTTAAGGATGATGAACTAAAAGGTAATTTAACCAATAAGTGATTTAGTGGTGCGTTCTTGGTTTTTCATCACCTTCACTTTCTCCAGTCATTTCCTTTATGCAGAAAATATATCACACATGCTGTTACTGAAGTATTTTATTTTGGCTGATGGAAGCAAAGAAGAATCAAGCACATACTAGACTTGTGAAGAACATCTTCACAGTTTTTGATGATCCCCATCTGTACATTGGCCATTAAGGGACCACTTCCTGATGTCCCTCCAGTTCATCTGACAATAATATTTCAGCAGAGTGTGATAACTCATGGCAGCGTCTGGTTTCTTTTTGTTTAGTGCCCTTCCACAGTGGCTCAGCAGAGACAATACTGTCCAGATTAAAAAGACATATTGTGTCAAAGCATCACGTCAGGAGATGGGCGTTTGATTGAAAGTTTTATGATTACGATTCATCTTATGCATGCACACAAGGATGCAGCCAGCAGGCGTAGTCCAAACAATGATTTTGCAATATTCCACTCATCAACAAGAGGTGGTAAGACTCTAAAATCAGATGTGGTGTGCCAGCAAATACAGGTAAGAACACTGCTAACTTATAAACATGCACACAAACACTGCTGTATTTATAATCATCTTTAAGTAGGAAAACGTGAATATCAGTGGGTTTGGGACTTGCATAAAACAAGGAAGATACTACCCTCAAGGCTTCAGGGAATTAAAATGGTTTTCTTTTTTCTCTCTTTTCTGACATTTAAAGAAACAATAATTGACTGAGGAAAAAAAAACTGCAGACAAGTTAATCAGGAAAGTAATTAGCTGAAGGTCTGCTTCAGGATTGTAGGAACTCAGAGAGACATCCAGCTGCGATTGACCTTTACATGTCAGACAGAAAGAAGACAGAAGTCATCAGTAAAATAGGTACAAGTCCCTACTTTAGGGACTTAAGCTGTTAATGCATGTTCTCCTTTCTGCATATACACATAAATAGAATATCATGCTTGTGCCTTTGTCTCATATTGTGCTGTCGGAAGGTCAAACTCCAGTCTTTCAGCGTGGGACTGCAGGATGACAAAATAACTAGAACATTGCTCCAAGTGGAGATTTGATAGCTATCGATAAGAAATCTTTGTAGGCACACGGGCTGTTGCATGGCTCTTTGTGCAACCACTCAACAAACACTTTTTGTTGCTCAGCTAAGTGATCCAGAGTAAACAGAACGTCTCTCCGTCCTCCACTCTGAGTGACTGCAGTGAACGGGCTCTTTGTCAGACTGCTGTTCATCTCTGCAGAGCCTGAACAGCAGAGGGACTTTTCACAGCTGGCAGGCCGCGATGAAAAGACACATTCAGACCCAGAAACTACTGCCAGGGCCCGAATGATGTTTGACATCAACATGTCCAAGTACTGACACAGACATTCTAAATTCAGATCCGTCCATTATCTATACACCGCTTAATCCTCACTGGGGTCGCGGGGGGCTGGAGCCTATCTAAATTCAGATGCTGAAGTCAAAACTAAATCCTAGACTCTTATTTCTGTGTAATATGCAAAGAAAAACAATACATCAAATATCAAATACAATGTTTCTTTATTATATGTACTCCTCCACAGAGGCATTAAAAACCACTTGGTGACAACAAACTATACTGGTAATTGAATAATCTCATGTCCCGGTGCCACTGAATCAGCGAGGGCACATATTCAGACATCTAAGCTGCTCTCATCGCTTCTGACCAAATTATTTGAACCTTAACTTTTTGACAGAACTCTTGTTAACGGCACCATAAATGAGCGAGTATCCGAAGTATATCTATACTGGTGTAGAGAATGAGGTGGCTGCTGGGTTCTAGTGTTTCACACGACGCCCTCAGGTCAGAAATAGTCTTGCAAAAACAAAAGCAGAATGAATATACTGATTATTATCTTGGTTTCCATTTCTTTAAATCCTTCTGCATATACATAGACATACATACACGAGCCAACAATTTGTCGGTCCATGGGTTACAAAATATTGTGCAAATGCTTTGTACAAACGCTAAGAACATTGGTAACACAACCCATCACTCTCTCCTCAGTTTACACATCAAACTGCAGCACATTTTGAGTACAGTACTCGTAGTTTTTATAAAGCAACTGTTGCACGCGACACATTCCACTGTACCTCCTGACATGGACACAGTAAGGCCAAAACCAATTCTTAAGACAGTATTCGTAACTATGGGGGGAACAAAACCGAGGTGGCAAGCGCCATCAATAATGTATACAAAGTCTGCACTATATATTATACAATACTTTTATATAAAGGGTAAAATCAAAACCATAGCATGCAAAACAAAATGTAACAAAAGTATGATGAGGAAAAAAAAAAAAAAAATCTAATAGCTATGTCAGGCTCAGTCAACAACCATGATAGCACCACATGTTAAAGGGTTTGAAACTCTTCAGCCAGACACGTTATGTTCTGGCACTGGTGCACTTTATATTAGTGTAATGGAGAAATATAGACAGTTACAATACGTTTTTGGGAATAAGGGTCATAATATGCTTTAAATTAAGTGCTTGAAAGCTTCAGAATTGATGAAGCTGCATCCAGCAACTTTAACTTTTGCAAAACAAACTGGCAACCATCAATTCCACAAGACAGCTACTTCCTTTGAGGAAAGACTGTCCAAAAGTGTGTGCTGTTGTCTTAACTTGCATCTCAGGCTTAGTAAAACCTTTAAAGCTCAGTCACACCAGAAAGGAGTAGCAGAAATTTTTGGTTTTTGTGGCTGGTGGCTGATAATAATAATGATGATAATGTCTGTTATCAGTTTTTCTGCTAAACTGCTGTTTGTCAAGTGTTTTATGTCTGTAAATAACAGAAAGCAGTGAAAAATGCCAGATATCATCTCTTTCAGCCCCTGGTGGCTACACACCTCCTTCTGCCTGAGAAACACTTCAAAAGCAAAACATTTTCAATTCATTCAATGTATGACACAAACTAGCTTAAATTCCTCACAGCTGAGAAGCTGGAACCAGCAAACTACTGGATTTTGTTCTTTGACATTTGACAATGCTGATGAACCCTAACATCTGCATCTAGAAAGTTTAAAAGGCATGAGTTTTACAGAACTGCCAGTTACACCACAGCCAAAAACATGTACAAACAGGGAATCATCAGATTTTAAACGTTGTGACGTTCACTGAAGCACTCATCTGTGACATGCTGTTACTTTGAAAAGCTTCACAATCTCTAAACTTAAAATCTTGATGTCATCACCATTTTGGGAAAATGTTCTCGATTCCAGATTTTTAACATTTTTGTACAGCACGTATTCTATGAAGTTCATCTTAACTTTTACACTGCAGAAAAACATGGATAAGTTTCTCTCTCCTTTAACCATGGCTGTGCTGTTTTCAAAGAGGTGCAGGACTTTATGTTGTAGAGAACAACAAGCCCATGTGAACAGAAACTGCTTGGGGGTTCAGGGAGTTAATTTTCTGTTCAGGGGCTGACAGCTGCAGCTCTACATACCTGCAAATAAATATTTTCGCTTTTGTGAAGCATTTTACACGCAATCAGTGAAGTTTAAATAGAAGTGGATGGATCGACACCATGAATACGTTTATGGTGAGTTTCTACAACATCACTGTGGATTAACTCATACCCGTAAGTGTCTCCAGTAATAACAACTCCCCTGAAATGAAATTATTTGCCGTTATATTTCACTATGTAAATGCTGGTGTGACTGGGCCTCTAGGGCTGTTAAGAGCTTAGTGTAAAGGAAATATTAGTGTTTTTATCAGTTTGTAGCTTTGGCTTTTTATTCCCTTTTCAGGTGGTGCAAACTGTGTGTTAGTAGAAGGAGATGCTGGAGCTGCTGTGCAGGTTTAAATATCTGTTATGTTTGTCAGTTTCAGTCCCTCGGCCTTGTGTGTCCGATCCCGGTGCCCCGCTGAGCCAGCCACTCAGAAAGCACACATCTGCTGTGGTCTGGTCATCCCTTCGCACCAAGTGCAAATAAACGTTTGTACTTAAAATGTCCATTGACTGAGACACACTGTAGAAAAAAACTGAACAAAAAACATAAAGTGAAATGGTAAATGCCGTACTAGACGTTGTTTCAGTTAGACTTGCTTTCCTCTTCGTCTTTCTCTACTACCGGGGGCGTTTCCTGAGACGGCTGCTGGGGCGAGTCTTCGCTCTGATTGGTGGCTTCTGTGGTTTGTGGCTCCAGTTTAGCCGAGGGCCCATCTGTCTGCGGCGCTGCGGTTTGTGTGCAGTTGATTGGTGCGAGCACTATGGGAGGCTGCAGGGAACAGAAAATAGAGTCTTCATGAGGTGGCTGAAATGTGTCGGGTTAAAAAGTCAATTTAATTTAAACAGATACAGAAGAGCTGAAGATAAGACAAACAGAACCAAAAGTGTACAGTCATTCCTCTGTCTTTAACAATTAAACCCCAATTAAAGGAGCTTTGTTTGCTTAATATTGCGGTCAGAGGTATTCCTGTATGCAGTGATAAAAAAGTCCCACATATGCATAACTGAGAGGAAAGCCTATTCAGAGGAAATCCCACACAGATCTCGAGTCCCATCGACTAGACAGATAAGACAAACTAACAAATGCTACTAAAAGAAAAAGTTAAACTACATCACTAATGGAACCAAAAATCAAGCTGTAGTTACCAACTTTGCTCCATGATAACTAGTCTATCAACAATACAGAAATAAAACAAAGTCTACTCTCCAGAAAACAAACAACAAAAGGAACTTTAAAGTGAGACTAGGATGTTTTAATGGTAGAGTGTAAAGCCCAAATAGAATACCTGCAGTGACATTCACAGACAGCTGAGCCCTCAGCAGCAGACTAGAGCACACCCACAGTAAAATAAAGGGCAAGAGGCAGCGATGAAGGGAAGGAGGGGGACAGTAAAACAGAAAGAGGCAGTTGGAACGGATGGAATAATTTAAAGGGGTTACTCAACTTGAAATTCTACTTTACTCTGCATGATATTTAACACTAGATTGTTTTTGTTTTCTTTTGTTGCTTTTTTTTTTTTTCTTTTCTTTTTTTAAGTCTTTTTGTTCTTCTGGAGTAGGCAGTCATATCAAACTGGTATTCACCACAAATCCACTTCCAGTCCAGAACTGGGGCAACTCCCTGCGCCACAGCGCTACAGTGAGGCTGGTGAGCAGAGTGCAAGGCACCAGGTAGAGCAAGGCCGGCTGGCCCATCTGCATCACGGCGAGGGCCACGAAGGTGATGAGCAGGCCGATGCCGTAAGCTGACAGAGGAGAGACAAAGTGAGAGAAAAGTCAAAGTCCAGTCCAGGCGACACATGAGGCCGTGCACGGTTTCACTCGAGATGGATTCATTTCTGTATGAGGTAGGGAGACGTTAACATCACAGATGATGAGTTTTAAACCCATTCAGAGCATGTGTGGGGTCATTTCTCACCAACATCTTTGTAGTGGATACACATTTTAGCAAACTGGCTGGTGTCTCTCTAATTGAAATCTCACTTGGATCAATGTCCTTATAATTTAAAATGGATTTCTGGGTTCTTTTCCCTGCAAAAAGAGTTGCTTGTCCTTCTATCAATTTGACTTCTTTTTATATGTATAAAAACAGAAGAAATCAGACATGTTGTGACTCCTCTGATTTAAAAAAAAAAAACAACTTCACACCAACACATCTGCTTATTTACAAAACTATATAACAACACAAAAATAGAAATCCCTTTAGTAGAGGAAAATGGTAGGTACTGTCTACTAATCCTGCAGAAAGGCAACATCTATTACAGTACAGACCACGTGCTGTATTTTTGCAGCAGTTAAATTAAATTACAGAGGAGTAAAGTGAATCTCTTATTACCCACATCTCCCAGTGATGTTAATCCCATCTGAATGAGGCTTATCATAACATTACAACAACATTTTACCAGTTACTACCCTCTTGTGCCCCCTGCGCATGTACATACCGATAGTACAGGCCACAAAGTAGATCCTGGAGGATTGTGTTAAAATGTCAAATCTGTGACAGTATGCTACCAGCAGACCTGACGGGCAAAAAAAAAAAAGCAAAGAGGCATTCAGAACAATCAACAAGGACAGCTGCTGTATTCAGCACTGTGTCGTCACACTCAGACATCACACACAGTCTTGATTATTTGAGAGGACTAAAGTCTTTCACTGCTGTTTAGATAATCTGGTGTCAGGACATCATTTTTCAAACCACTGATTTGCAGTTATTAATCTGTAGGAAATCGTATGATCTGCAGTTATACAGGATTAAATATAAAGTACTACTGTGTGGCTGTGTGGTTATTATCTGCAAAACATTTCTGGTGACAGTTATATACCTGGTACTAAAATATCTCCAAAGCCCAGGAGGGAGAAGGGCCGATCACACAGGGCCAGAGGAGACGAGTTCAACCGTGGCACTTTGAGCACCATAGGGAGCTGGAGAAAGCAAAAACAGAAGTGTCACCATTGACTGTTTTCCTTCTGAGCTGAGAGGGGAACTTGCACACCACTGACATTTAAGTTTATTTCCAACGTCTCACCCCTACTGACAACTGGAGAGAAATCTGGCCTGGGATCTTGGTCTGAATCGATGTTCAGCCCAGATAATTTGCTAATGTGACGGCTTTATAGATCCAGTCTTAGAAGGTGTGGAAAGCAAGCTCACCTTTTCATGTGTGGCGGAGTCAGAGGGACCAGCCGCGACCTCCACCATTATACTTTCCCCACTCTGAAAAGAGAACGGAAAATAAGAGCAACACACACTCACAGAATCAGCAGACCTTTGAAGGAGCCTTGTGTGCAAACAGTGTTGAAATACCTTTGTGAAGAAGGGTGTAATAAATACGAAGAACACATCGTAGACAAACAGGACTGTCAGTAGTAAAGTGCACGCCTGCAGGAGAGAGACAGGAAAAAGGATTCAGGTGAGTTTACAACTAACACAATGCTTGTTAGTCATTATAACACAATTAAAACCTACAAAAACATCGTGTTTGTCTGTCGGCGTGTCGACTAACCTTAAATGTGGGCAGCCTGACTGTTTTGAGCATGTAGAGGCAGAAGGCGATCCCCAGGGCGTCCTGTAACACCCACGCCCACCTGGAGGACGGAACAAGTGTGTTAGTCAGCCAACACCATCATCATATCGAACCTCCAGCGTGTCATCGCACACAGACATTACGCCACCCAACACCTGTAACAACCCTCAATACTTTTGCTCTAAAACCAAAATTTCCTGGTTATAGGAATCTGAGCTAAACCTACAGTCTCATTAATAGAAATCAAATTCATTTCAGTGCACATGCTGGTTAAAGGAGACTGTAGCTATGATGATCAAGATCATTATGATAAATGTTGATGTTCTATTGTGTTATGATAAAGTGGTATTCCTTTGACAAATTATGCAATAGGAGTGCTGGTGTGTGAAAGGAGTACTCTGTTGTTTTTGACAACCAGGATACTGGGTCAAAGCAGCTGGTTTATTTTCTTCATGCATGTGACTGTAGCCGGTGTGGACACCTGTGCAATAATGGATTTGACACAGTTTCTCTTTGCACTCACTGGTCTTCATTGCGAAACACCATCCAGATGATGCTGACACTGATGCAGAGGGCAGACAGCAGCAACATACGAATCTGTGGACGCTTGTGGAGGTATGGCAGGTTGTTCTCTGGGATCCTGAGATCACAAGATGGTTCACATGTCAGTCAACATTACAGCCTTTTCTCTCAAGGAAATGCAGCCATTGTACGGCACGATTGCTGTTGTCCTCATGAATAGGACTACAACTAATGATTACTATTATTATTGATAAATCTGCAGATCCTGTTCTTTTTCAGTCTATAAAATGAAAGACAATAGCAGATAGTTGGCCTTTATAACTCATCAGTTTCATTAGACTCTGGATGATCTCTTCACATGTCTTGTTTTTTCCAAAAATATTCAGCTTGGTGTCAGGTGTTTTAACAAAAGTATCGAATCACTGCATTTGAGAGCCTGGAAACAGCAAATGTTTGTCTTTTTTTTTTTTTTTAATTTGCTGAACTGTTGCAGCACCACTTGTGTGCAGGGTTTTCCACACTTCAAGTTATGTGTTCCAGTTCTGGAGCCACAAGACTAAATCTGTGGAGTTTTTTTTTTTGACCTTATAAATTGCACCTATAGTCTTTAAAATACAAACAAGATAGGTGTCTTTCTTTTTTGTATTGAATGACAGCATAAAACTTGTGTATGAAGGTAAAGGAAAAGACATGGACAGTAAATATGCACAGTCTCACCTGCACTTGCAGAAAGGAAGCCTCCTAACAAAAGGCCACAGACAGCTGTAGAGTCCAACAGAGGAAGCCACACAGAAGATCGCGATGACCCAAATGGCTTAATGATGAAGAACCAAGAGGGAGACATGAGATTAGCACATATTAACGCACAACATCTACTCACATTCTATTGAAGGAACACACTTCTTCGGCACTCTGGCTCTTTAAATATCTGAACAGTGGTATCACTTTGATCACTGCATGTACAGTATTGAGCATGCTCAGTGAAAGCATGACCGCCTCTCAGAAATATTAAGCAGTCTATCAGCAGCTTTTTAAATCTATTTAGAAGTGAAATTTTATCTGAGCCAATAAGCTTTATTTTGGTGATGCCGTTTTATACACTCAAGAAGTCCAAACATTCAGATCCGCTAACTGAATTCGCAGGTTTGTAATGCAGAACAGTGAGCAGCTCTGCAGGAGGAAATGAGGATCAAGGATCAAGTGTCAACTGTAGCTCTAAGAAATCTCAACTTTACACTGGAGTTAAATGGAGGAATTATTACCTCACTAGTTACCCAAGATCTGCTCAGAAGGTCTGGGTCTTTTAACCAGCAATCGCTTTTATCTTATCTTATACCGAATGCTGCTTCTCAGTTACTGAAAACCTTATTACATGGACTAGGCAACAATGACTTCAGTGGAAGTCTACTACGATTTTAGCTGGACATCATAGAGTCAAAGTGAAGAGCAACTTTGCCAATTGATAAGGAGAAATATGACAATGATTCCAAAATATCCACTGCATTTATTCTGCTTAAAAATAAGACAACGGCAGCCTTGTAAGTCCTGCATTTAGCTATTTAAGCATGTCACAATCAAAGAAAACAAGGAAGCCTGCAAGACACAGCTGAGGGCTTCAAAAAAAAGCTACTGTTGCAAGCAGACCTTGAGTTGAGTGGATTTGTCACATAGGAAAACATTGTCTGCCATCTTCTGCACAACCTGAATCTGAAGAAAATGCTTATGAAGCAGCGCCAGGCCGCAGTAAGATAGGAAAAATTAAAGGCTTTAAGAGGCCAACACAGCAGAAACCACCATTAATGTACTGGTCACATTAAAGTGGATGAGAATTTTTAATCTTTCAGCAAGATTATGTAATGTAGATTCTATTACAAAATACATAAATAAAATACAATTATTTGTATCGATCAGTGGCATGGCGGCGTGTGTATCTGTACTGTACCTAGGCGGTCGTAGAAAAAGTAGAGTAGCACCAGCATGTTGCAGCACATGACTACGAACACACAGATCATGATAGGGGTGACGTCTACTGTCTCCTCGTCTTGTTTCTCTGCACCGTCGTCCCGCTTGTGCTTCATGTAACGTCTGCAGGAGGAAAAACACATTTCAGAGAAGTGGAGTGATCTGATGAGACATATATTACAACCAGCATCTATAACCACTTGTTTTCTTAGCCTCTTTGGTTTTGTCTTTCACTTCTTAAATTACAGATTACTTTCTGACGTATGATGATTTGCCAAAGGATCCAGGATGACCGTGCTGCCGTCCACAGTCAATATTTACCGTCATTTGCTCGGCGGGCTGGCATTCACTTCCTTCCCGAGTTCAAAACACACACTCATATTCCAAAATGTTTTCCGCCTGTGGCTCTGTGCTTCAGATCTGACTGTGGCCTCAGTCACCTTGGCAACTCCGTCAGAAAGGATGGTCTCGGGTTGGCTTAAGCCAGTGAGTCACTCATTCGGCCTCAAATAAACAACATTGCCCTTTAGTGGAGTCGCAGCGGCACAATGCAGGCTGCTTGCTTTGAAAAGAAGAGACGCACATACAGTCTTCAAGGAGAAAACTCTGTGCAGCCATTCGCTTCGAGTGCTTTGCCAAGAAAACTCTGACTAATTTTCTCCACAGATGACTCAACTGATAAATTGACTTGGATTTAAATTTAGCTGTTGAGACTACAAGCATTGTATGCACAGCAGAAGGAAAAATTGCATCCCGTTGTAATGTAATGTAGAGGAAAGTCCCTACAACAAGCCTTATGACTTGTTCTTTATATAAATTACTACTTTTGTATGACTTAGAATAAAGCTATGGTCAGTCTAGATTGAAAACTGTTCTTTGAACACAGAGAGGTTGCGTATTCTATTCAGAAAATAAAACAGTAAATTGACCCTGTGGTTGTGTGCAGCTGTTTCCATCCATATTGTAACATCATTGAGGATTGTTTGCTTACTTCTTGCTGTCTCTGCTGCCGGCCCAGTAGCCTCCCATGGCCACCGTTCCTACAGCCATCAAGAAGATAATCACCATGTTGTAGTCCAACACTGGCTCATTGGGTGCGTACATTGCAACCTGTCGTCCTTTACC